GGGCGTCGCGGCCGTCATGTCTGCGGGTCCGGGTCCGCCGGTTTTGGTCCCAGGCCGTTTCAATTAATGGGAGGTTTACCACAGGGAGGTTTGTCCACCGCCGATCTACAGTCAAGGGCAGAACAAAAACGCCCCTACCCTGGTTTGCGAGGCGCTGTTCGCTGAAACTCCTGTGGGCCGACAGGCCAAACCCTGCGTGTTGTGCCGCGTCCTGGCGGCTCTAGGCCGTGGGGGTTCCCAGGAGTTTTACAGAACACGCACTTGTAACCCAGGGCCGTTTTTCATCCCTAAATACAGGGGGAATGTCCAAAAAGAATCCTAAAGATAGTGCGGGGGCGTTTTTTTTGTTGTTGTTGAGTTTTTGGTGACTTTTTTAGCGTGGCTAACTGTTCGTCCAGACTCCACCTGTAGGGGGACCTGCCCGACCCAAGACGAGGACGGCGATGCCACGAGCAGGGCAGCCCGACGACGGCGCGAGCGCCAGGGGGCGCCCTCGAGGGCGCGGGGCTGCTCGCGCTTCGCGGTTCGGCCCCGGCTCCTCCTCGTCCTCCGCGTCTCCCCCTTCGGGGGCGGAAAAGAGGGGGGGGATGACTACGGGGGGGTGGATATCATGGCGGGGGGCATGATATTTCCCCAGATGTCATGGCGCCTCTCCTGATTTCATCACGTCCCTGGCCCTCCCGCTGGGCCTCGCACGTGCCGGCGGTCATGATTTGCACCCCCCCCCTCTTGGACACCCCCCTCTTGGCCGCTCCCGACCCCTCGGGGGCGGCGCGAGAGCGCGCAGTGTCGCGCGCTGCACGGCTCGGCTCCACGACTCCTCCTCGCCTCCTCTCCCCCCCAGGGGGGCGGGCGCGAGGGCGCGGGGGCTGCTGGCGCTCCGCGCTCGGCGCGGCGCGGGGCGCGAAGTTCGGAGCGCCGCCCGAGGACGCCCTCTCGCTGAACCTCCGGGGCAGCGCCCTGGGCAGCCCCCCGGCGGCGAGGGCCACGGTGGCGAAGGCGCGCGGCTGCCAGCGAGGAGGACGACGGCGAGGGGGGAGGGGGGGGAGCAGAGCAAGGAGGAGGAGGGGACAAAGACGCACAGACACGATGGATCGTCGATTCCCAAGAGAAGATAGGGGAACTGTGGGAAGTGGGGGGGAAGACGAAAACCCCCAAAATATGCCAAAACATGGGGAATAGTTTTATTTGTGTGTATTTATTTGCGTGTGTGTGTGTGTGCGTCCTGGGGCCCCTTTAAAGGAGGGAGGAGAAGGAGGAGGGCACGAGGCCTGCACGCCGTCTCTACCCACCTCCCGCGCTTCAGAGGTCGAGGAGGCACTGCTTGTTGTGGCCTGGGCGTGTCCAAGCCCAGGGCGTCTGACGCTCCGGGTCCGCGAGGGCCAGTAGCGTGCCTGAGAGGAGAGGAGGGCACGAGGGAAATTGGAGGACGGGGGGGGGGGGGGGGAAGGATGGCGCCGGGGGGCGGGAAGTCGAAGGGCAGGCGGGCAGACGGGGAAGGAAGGAGAAGAGGAAGGCAGAGGGCGGAAAGGGGAAGGGAACGGAAGGAACATCCAGGCCTTCCAGATTGAGTCCGCGTAGATTGGGCCGGTGCGCCGCCGATGCATCTGTGATGCGGCTCCATTTTTAGGGCGGGCGTGTCCCCCTAGACGAAAAAGTACACATACCCCCCAAAATGCCCCAACATTGCCAAACATGGTATGGACACAAACATCCCCAGACTTAACTCTATGTGTCAAGCAGTAGCGAAGCGTCCCGGCTCGCCTATAGCCCCACCAAGCAATGTTCTAAGAACCTTTTGTGGTTCCCACGAAATGTTCTTAGAACACTTCTGGCTGGGACTGTCTTGTTTTAGCACATCGGGTTGATGTTCTAGGAACATTCTTTTTGGTCTTAGAACATTCTTGGGTTCTAAGAACATCTCGTGGTATGACTATAGGGATACCGGGACGGTCGGTCCCTTTTCAAATGTGGAGTCCGGTGCTCTCCACGCCTTAGTGGGCCCCGGAAACGGCAGGGCCGTTTATTCACCGTTTCCAAAAACATGTCCCTTGAAAACGGAAACGGCAAAAAAACGGCGACCGGAAACGGCAAAAAAACGGCTCCAGGATTGGAAAGGGAGCCGGAACCGGTAAGAAAAAACGGCGACGGAAAAACGGCGTCGGAACCGGCAACAAAAACGGCAAAACGGAACCCGGTAACAAAAATTGCCCTGTCGTTTCCAGGGCCCGCTAAGCTCCACGCCGACCTCGCGGAGGCATCGCCGACGTCGTCGGTGCACCGCCGAGGCATCGGCGGCGCGCCGCGCGCCCCCCGCGCCCCGGCGGCGGGGCCCGCAGGAGGGGAGGCGGCGGGCCGCCCCGCCGCCTCCCGGCGCCAGAGCCTGGAGTCGGGCCTTCGGGGCTCCAGAGGCAGGGGTCAATGCAAAGGGGGGTCAGCCAGGGCACCCTCCTCCTCCTCCCCCTCCTCCTCCCTCCTCCTCCTCCTCCTCCTCCTCCTCCTCCTCTTCCTCCTCTCCTCATCCTCCTCCTCCTCCTCCTCCTCCTCCTCCTCCTCCTCCTCCTCCTCCTCCTCCTCCTCCTCCTCCTCCTCTCAGGAGCCCACGCGGAGCTCCGAGGAAGCTCCTCCTCCCCTGTCGGGGCTCCAGAGACGGAGGTCAATGCAAAGGGGGGTCAGCCAGGGCACCGGATCTTGCAGGATCCTGCGAAGACCCCCTCTGTCGGGGGTGGACAGACCTCCTACCCTGACACGTCGATTAAGGAATTGGCCGTTCTCGCTTCGCGAGAGGGTGCCGCGGCCGTCATTTCTGTGGGTCCAGGTCCGTCGGTTTCGGTCCCAGGCCGTTTTCACTAAGGGGAGTTTACCAAAGGGAGGTTTGTCCACCGCCGACTCTGGCTGACCCGGGTTCGCGAGCCGCGCGTGGCCGCGGGGCGGCCGCGCCTATCGGCTGACCCGGGTTTGCGCAGATCTGCGTGGCATTTTTTTTTTCCGGCATTGCATTGTTTGGTGTCCTGCTGACCCGGGTCTTGATTGATCCGGGTCAGAAGATCCCCGAGGCGTGTCCCTCTACAGGAGGGAGATCCAAACATAGACATAGAATAGTCTGGGGCCGATTGTTCCTCGATGTGTGGTTTCTGTTTTTGCATATTGTTTGAATCTGTTGTATGGTTCGTCCAAAATCGGCCTGTAGGGGGACATTCCCGACCTAACCTGAGCCCCCCCCTCCCTGTCGGGGGCTGCGCGCACGCCGGTTATTGAAAGTAGATCCTTTCGGGCCCCCCCATCAAGAGGCGAGCGGTTTTCCCTCCCTCCTCTTCAGAGGGGGCGGGTGGGAGCCCAGTCTATTTCCAACGCCTTCGAACTGCTTCATGTTTCTGCCCACATCTTCCTACCGGCGGGTGCTGGCGGGGGAGGGGCGACCAGTGGCGGGGAGACAGCGGTGCATGGTTCGCGAACCCTCGGGGTACTCATTGGGGCCCTTGGGACTCGTGGGGGAGGGGATGGAGAGGAGGAGGAGGAGGAGGAGGAGGAGGAGGAGGAGGAGGAGGAGGAGGAGGAGGAGGAGGAGGAGGAGGAGGAGGAGGAGGAGGAGGAGGAGGAGGAGGAGGAGGAGGAGGAGGAGGAGAGGAGGAGGAGGAGGAGGAGGAGGAGGAGGAGGAGGAGGAGGAGGAGGAGGAGGAGAGGAGGAGGAGGAGAGGAGGAGGAGGAGGAGGAGGAGGAGGAGGAGGAGGAGGAGGAGGAGGAGGAGGAGGAGGAGGAGGAGGAGGAGGAGGAGGAGGAGGAGGAGGAGGAGGAGGAGGAGGAGGAGGAGGAGAGGGGACGGGGGACGGGGGACGGGGGACGGGGAGGGGGCGGGGGTGGAGGAGGAGGAGGAGGAGGAGGACAAGGAGGAGGAGTTCTGGAGTTCTGGGTGTAGCGACCAGGTCGGGTCGAAAAGCCTCTGAAAGCCTCAGAAAGCCCCGCCCACTCAGAAGACCTCGGAGAAGAGCGAAACTCGGATTGCCTCAAGCACATTACTCAGATCACCATGCGGACCACGACGACCTGGAACCCTGCCAAGACGCGCATGTGACCTCGATGGGGCGAGCACCATTCACTTCGAACACATAGTCAACACGTGGCCAGAAAACCTTCAGGAAGCTGGACAAACGAGTATGACATGGTTCGTACATCTGCGTCTCCTCGGACATTAGCTATGCTGCTACCCACCCTGCCAGAGCCGCACGTGAGCAAGACCGACTCCTCAGACCCTCCCAACCGAAACTCTGGAAAAGATCTCCCTCCTTCGTAATGCAGGAGAGATACAACATGGACTTGCGCCGTTCCGCCACAACAGTGCGCACCAACGGTTCCAGAACACCTGACCATCCAGCAAGCAACAACTGCGTACAGTGCCAGGCCGTAAACTACCCTGCACATCCTTTCCATTGAGACCGTTGGTGCAGAAAATCGGACCCAGCGCTTCCACTGCAGTTTGACAGAAGTAGTAGCAGCTTGCACCCTGTCCGCGAGAAAATGAGAAACCCCATGGCTGCAGCATCAAGCACAGTACAAAGTCAGCACCCGACAACCTGATTGTGCCCATTCTTGCAGTATTGAGATTGTTGAACCGTCATAAGCTTACGCTACTGATGTACAGAGTGGTAGCGAATGACTTGAATACCTGACTATCTGCGGCTCTCATTGCCAGAGGGATGGAAACCAGCTGTACTCACCACCAGTCCAAACTATAAACTCCCTTGGCAGAATTGGGAGAGGACACAACCGTAGAGGATGACGCACTGATCCACTGCACAGTTGAAAGCTCCCACCACCAGAAAAGCACGACCACCTGCGTGAGCGGCAGCCTCGATTGTAAACTCCCCTGGCGGATTTGGGAGATAACTGGACCGTAAGAGATGACGCCTGCAGCCCTTTGCTTCGCAAAGAACCAAATACTCGTTGAAAGCCGATCTCCAACTACATTGGAAATAGCAACTCCTGTCGGCGACGTCGGACCCTCAACACCTGCTGTTGACCAAGCCCCACTTGAGTGCCCACTGGATAGCGGAGAAAGACAGCCCGAAAATGCCTGGTATGATGACGTAGAAGGCGAACCCCGTGAAACACACAGTGTCCAATACTTGCAGCCACCGACTCCAGGAAGCAGCCCTTTGATTGCTGTCGGTACCCTCCCCAAGCGGCGCTGGGAGATAACAGAACCGTAGGAGATGCAGCCAGGGGCAGAGCCGAACCACCCAACTTCATTGAGGATGATATTGCGTACCACCTTACTGCAGAGAGATAGAGGGTTGTCACCATTGGCTGAGAAAAACGACTGAAAGCCCCATCGCCACAATATTAGCCGAGCTGAGGCCTCCTGCAGAGATTCACACAAGACTATAGTAGCTGAGATGTTCGTGGTTAGTGGCCTTCGCGCTCTTGTGGTCCACCCCCCAAGCGGGCTGGGCTGCGGTGGCCTTACTGCCGTCGCGAAGAGCCACATGATCCCCGTGTTGTAGTTGGCGTGCGGGTGAAGCACACTGGTTGCAACCACTGCCTGGTCCCATATTGTATCAGAACCGCCAGCTTGTACGCTGCGCAAGTACCCGTCCATGAGTTGTTGAACCTTGTAGTCCTTGGCGTATTCGTGGAAGTCTGCATAGGTGCCCGTAGAGCCTCCCAACGTACGAAGGACAACTGGCATGTACTCAGTGGCCACCGGCGTTGCTGGTACTTGGCGCGCTCCAAGGTTGGCGAGCACATTGAGACCGCAACCGTAAGTTAAACCTCCACCGCCATCGGCTGCGAAAGAATTTTCCAACCGCGTATGGTGGCGGAGCTGCACGCTCTGACAAGGTTGAAGATGCCGTCGGTCCCCAAGTAGTGAGAGGCTTCGAGCGGTCCGTTGTCGTCGACCTTGACAATCAGGTCGCGGCCGTTCACAAGCGGCGTGGCCTCCGATCCTGATGCCTCCGCGCACTGCTGCGGCTTGTACCCTGGGATCGCGCCGAGAGTGGCAGTCGTCGAGGGGGTACCGCTGACTCTGACCTTGTCCGACCGTCGGCTGATACTGATCACCGTCGCATGCGGAAGTTGACCCACTGCAGCCTCGAATGTCATATTCTCGTAAACGAGCCGTCTCTCGGCCCTGTCCACTGCGTAGCCGAGGTACTTCTGCATCAAGGGGTCGAGGTAGTCGCGGCCCTGCGATGGCGGACAGACGCAGGATATGACCATGAGTGCAGGTGACGCACAGAGTTCACGATCTTCATATAGTTGAAAGATATCGCGGCTCTTGCACGGGATGCCCAGCGACTCGAGGAGCGGTTGTGCAGCCTGCTCGACTACCTGCGGGTTAATGTCCGACATCTCCCAGTGACGCAGGATTGAATGCGCCGCCATACTGGGTGCGACCGTTGCCATACTTGAAGAAATTGTCCCGTTCTTGTCACGTCCGAGGATGTCAGCGTAAAGGACGCCGATGCTGTAGTCAACCCCACCTGAATCCGAGAGTCCACACCAGTAGAATACCAGAGCCAGAGTAGGGGGGGGACGGGGGACGTGGGAGGGGGAGGGGGAGGGGGAGGAGGAGGAGGAGGGAGGAGGAGAGGAGGAGGAGGAGGAGGAGGAGGAGGAGGAGGGGAGGAGGAGGAGGAGGGGGAGGGGGAGGGGGAGGAGGAGGAGGAAAAGTGCACGTATATGCACGTGTCTTCGCCTCCCCCCCCCCCTTCCCCGAGGAGCGTCCCCACAGGGAGCCAGGTCGCCCGCGGGGGCGCGAAGACAGCCGCGCCTTCGCCGCGCGGCGAGGTCCGCGCTGGGGCGGCTGCCCCTCGACGAGTCTGTGCGGCACGGGGGCGCGCAGATCACCGCGCACCGCGCCTCGCGGGGCGCACCACGCCTCGCAGGCCTTCTCAGAGCGTAGCGTTCCGGAACGCTCTGAGAGCGTTCCGGAACGCTCTGGAACAGATTTGTCCTCGTCCTAGCCTCCTCCAGGGAAAGTTCGTCTTGGTGCCAGTTCGCGAGGCGTCAGGGCTCCCATCCCTCGGCCATGGCGCTTGCAAGCTTGGGGTCAAGGAGCCGAGGGTCGTTGCGCTGGACTCAAGTCGGGCATGTCCCTCTCAAGGAGGACTGTTCAAGAGTGGCCAGAAGACGGTCTGGGGACGAAGTTCCGACTGCCCGCTCGCATGTTTGTACTATTTGCAAGTCGTCTTCCTGGGTCCGCCTGTAGGAGGACATGCCCGACCGAAAGTTAGGTGGCCTTCTCAGCAGGCTCGGGAGTTCCCTGGCCGTCGGAGAAGTCTTCTCAGCCTTCCCTGAGGACACAGAAGTTGGGATGCAACTCCTGGGAGGTCAAATTCTGATTTTGCGCTGGTCCGAAGTCCCGCTGAATCCCGGTTAATCCGGCTTAATCCCGCTTGATCGGAGGCCCACTCCGGCGTAATAACTCCCAAATGGGCCTCAATCCTCCCTGATTTTTCCGACGAAATCCTCCCAGCAGTTGCGTCTTAACAGAAGAAAACCTCGCAGAAGGCCGGAGGCCCTCGGAGAAGCTCCGCCGCCCTCTGAGAAGGCCTTCTCCTTCTCACGCCCCCGCCTCGCTCGCCGCCGAGCTGAAGCATCCCTGTCCAGCGTTAAGTCGGGCCTGTCCCCCTACAGGCCGATTTTGGACGAAAAAAAAAGTACCCTGAAAACATTCAAAAATGGTCAAAAAATAGTCCCCAGACTATTTTTTGACTATTTTTGAGCATTCCCCCTGCAGAGGGACAGGCCCGAGTTAACCAGCGCAACGACCCTCGGCTCCTTGACCCCAAGCTTGCACGCGCCATGGCCGAGGGATGGGAGTCCTGACGCCTCGCGAACTGGCGCCAGGACGACCTCTCCCTGGAGGAGGCTAGGACGAGGACAAATCTGTTCCAGAGCGTTCCGGAACGCTCTCAGAGCGTTCCGGAACGCTACGCTCTGAGAAGGCCTGCGAGGCGTGGTGCGCCCCGCGAGGCGCGGTGCGCGGTGATCTGCGCGCCCCCGTGCCGCACAGACTCGTCGAGGGGCAGCCGCCCCAGCGCGGACCTCGCCGCGCGGCGAAGGCGCGGCTGTCTTCGCGCCCCCGCGGGCGACCTGGCTCCCTGTGGGGACGCTCTGAGAAGGCCGCGGCACCCGGTTGTCTGCACCGACACTGGCGCGTAAGTTGCCCGAGTAAGGTCGCGCGTAGGTGCCCTCGCTTCCAGCGCAGCGTGCAACGCCGGCGGCCCGCGTAAGTCACCGCGTGAGGTCGCCGTACCATCTCGCGTAAGACCTGTTTCTTGTCGCCGCTCAGCGTTCTTCGAGAGACGTGGCGACCTCTCCTCAACGTCTCCCCAGCATTTGTTGTCCCACTACTGCTACCACGAATAATAGTATTATTTTTCGACAACTGCTACTACGACGACGACTACCACCACTACTACTTTTCTACTACTACTACTACTACTACTACTACTGCTACTGCTACTGCTACTGCTACTGCTACTGCTACTGCTACTGCTACTACTACTACTACTACTACTGCTACTGCTACTGCTACTGCTACTGCTACTACTACTACTACTACTACTACTACTACTACTACTACTACTACTACGACTACGACTACGACTACGACTCCGAGTACAACTACACAACGACAATTACTACTACTACCACTACTACCACCACTACTACTACTACTACTACTACTACTACTACTACTACTACTACTACTACTACTACTACTACTACTACTACTACTACGACGACTACGACTACGACTACGACTCCGAGTACAATTACACAACGACAATTGCTACTACTACCACTACTACCACCACTACTACTAGTTCTACTACTACTACTACTACTTGCGGTCTCGTGCGCCACATCACCACGGCTCGACCACGTTGGGACGAGCGTCCTGTGGCTGCCTCATTACCGAGTATGCGGCAGGCACCTGCGCACGGTTCAAGGCAAGGCGGAGCGCGAATCGCGGGCTGACGACGCTGCAGTGAGGTTGCCGAGATGCGCTGAAGCGGACCTGGCCTAAAATAAACCTATTACTGCTACTATTACGATTACTACGACTACTAGGACTACTATTACTATTACTAGTGTTACTACTACTGGGACGTCTATTACTACTACTACTACTACTACTACTACTACTACTACTACTACTACTACTATTACTATTACTATTACTATTACTACTACTACTACTACTACTACTAGGACTACTAGGACTACTATTACTAGCACTACTACTAGTACTACTACTGCTGGGACTACTAGGACTACTATTACTAGCACCCTACTTCTACTGCTACTACTATTACTACTACTACTGCTACTAGGACTACTTTTACTAGCACTCCTACTAGTACTACTACTTCTTTACGATGGTTACCACTACTATGACTATTACCACCACTACTTAAACTAGTACTAGGATTACTAGTACTACTACTACTGCTACTGCTACTACTACTACTAAGACTACTACTACGGCTACGTTTACTACCACTACGACTACTGCGACCACTACGACTACTTCTGCTACTTCTACTTTTTTTATTACTTCTACTTCTTCTACTACTACCACTACCACTACTGATACTACTACTACTACTACTACTACTACTACCACTACTACTACTTCTACTACTACTAACTGCTACGACGGATACTACTACTTGTACTACTCCTACTACTCGTACTACTACTACTACTACTACTACTACTACTACTACGACTACTACTACAAATACTACGGCTACTTCTCTTACCACTACTACTTCTACTACTACTACTACTGCTACTACTACTACTTCACTTCTACTACTACTACGACCTCTACGACTACCACGACGATTACTAGTACTACTACGACGACTACGGCTACTACCACTACCTACGACTACGAATTCTTCTACTGCGCTCATGATTTCTAATACTACGGCTACTGCTGCTACTACTATTGTTACTACCACGACTACGACTACTACTACGACTACCTACTACCACCGCTACTACCACTAGTATTTCTACGACTACTACTACTACTACTACTACGACTACGACTACTACTACTACTACTTCTACTACTACTACTACTACTACTACTACTACTACTACTTCTACTACTACTACTACTACTACTACTACTACTACTACTACTACTACTACTACTACTACTACTACTACTACTAGCACTACGAGTTCGAATTACTACTACTACTACTTCTAGTAGTAGTAGTAGTAGTATTACTACTACTACTAATACTACGACTCCTACGCGCGCCGAGCTAGTATACTATATGCCTTGGTGGGACGGGCGCCTACGAGGACGCATCGTATTAGTACAGCCAGCCCGGATTAGTAGGTCGACCTTGCCAAGTCTAGGGTACTTTCGTGCTCTGCGTCTCGCGACCCATGCCTCCCGCATTCCTCTGGCAGCGTAGCCCCCCGAGGGGCCTCGTGTCCTCTCGTGCCCTCTCCAATTAAGTCGGACTGTATGTTATTGTGCGCCCCATCCCCCCTGAGATCCGACGCAGCGAAAAAATGCAACATTGCAACAAATCACGCCTGGAGCCCCAGGCCCCATCTTCCTGCACCATGTTGCGAGCCCGATCGATCCTCGGATCGATCTCTGAGGGTCCCGGGGCCCGAAAGCGAGCGACGACGCCCGCTGTGAAACAATTGCCACGCCAGGATCTCAGGGTTCTCCTCCCCCCACACACGCAGGCCCATCCACCAACGCACCCACACACACACACACAAACACACATCCACACACCCACACACACCCACACACCCACACACACCCACACCCACATGCCCACACACGCACACACGCGCACACACATGCACCCACACTCACCCACACGCAAACCACACACACACACACACCGACATCGCGCACCTTGAGAAGCCGCGGCCAGCTCCCCGCGGCGCGGCCGCCGGGGCCTCCGCCGGCCCGCCGCGCCTCGCGCGCCATGCCCGCGGGCGCGGCGCGGGCGGCCAGCGCCCGCGGCAGCCGCGCCAAGAGGCGGCGAGGCGACGGGGCCGCCGGCGCCGAGGCCCCCCGGCCGCCTGCGGGAGCCTCGAGACGCCTCCGCCCGTCGCATGCGCTCTGCTAGCCCGCGGGCGTCGCGCCACGGAGGCCCGGAAGTCCAGAGTTCGGGTGACATGCTCAGACTACCCTCAAGTCGGGCGTGTCCCCTTACAGGGGGATTTTCGACGAAAAATTAAAAAAATACCCCCAACAATGATCCAAAGATAGTCCAAAAATAGTCTGGGGACTACTTTTTAATTTTTTTTGAGCATTTTGGAATCTTTTTGAGCATTTTTAATTTTTCGCCCAACATCTCCCTGTAGGGGGACACGCCCGACTTAAGACTACCCACGTGAAGTGCGGACCCGTGGGGGACTCGAGACTTCTTCGCGTTTCCCTCCGGGAGCCTCGAGACGGGAGTCAATGCAGACGGGGGTCAGCGAGAGCGCCCCATCTTGCGGGATCCTGCAGGGCCAGGCTCGCATTGACCCGGGTCTTTGTGCAGGATCCTGCGGGATCTTGCAGGATCCTTCGCATTGACCCAGGCTTGGGCGCAGGATCTTGCAGGATTCTGCGAGGCCCGACTGACCCGGGTCTGGACCGACCCGGGTCAGAAGATCCCTGGAGCCGGCCAGCGGCGGGCCGACGGCGTCGTCTCTCACCGAGCGCGCTGCACTGCTCGCAGAGTGCCTAATTACTCTCGGGTTGACCCAAAAGGGGGTCCAGCGACAAGGGGGGTGGTGCAGTAGATTTGGTGCAATAGTTTTGTGGGTTTGCAATACATGTGGGGCGTGCAATGCATTCCAGGGAGCAAATCTATTGCTGGATTTTTGCTTGCAAGACATTACTTGCAGTACAATGCAATGCAATGATCCGGCGCAATAAGTGGGCAATCCAATTGCCCCAAATCTATTGCACCACCCATTTTCGGTTGGACACCCTTGTGGGTCACCCAAATACTCCCAAACGTCTGAACACCAGATGTTCGCGTCGTGTTAGTGGATCGTGGATCCCCCGCGTCGGATCCAGGCCATTGGCGAGTAGTTACTTTGCGAATCGTGGAGTGCGCTTGTCTAGTCTTAGGGGCTCAAGGGGCGGAGGGGGTCCATGCAAACCCAGACCCCAGACCCCCTCGAGTCACGAAAGCATCACGACGGGAGGCGTATCGCTAGTTTGGGCCTCTGGGGACCTTACCCCGGGCCTCGAGCCCCTTCCAGGACGACTCGGGATGAAAAGCCGGTCCCAGGGGAAGGGCTCGATACGTCTGGGGGCATGGACAAATCGTGGCGTCGGGGGCCTGGGAACGCGGGTCTGCGTCAGCGCCAGATCTGGCAGGTTCCTGCGGGTCCAGGGGTGCACTGACCCAGGTCGGAGGGCAAGCTTCTGCAGGCTCTTGCAGGGTCTTGCAGGATGTTGTAAAGCTCGACTGACCCGGGTCTGGACCCAGGTCAGTCGAACCCAGACAGCCGGCTGGCGGCCAGCCGACGTCGTCGTCGTGGTCGTTGTTGTCTCTGTCGTCGTCGCCGCCGTCGTCGTCGTCGTCATGGTCGTCGTCGTCTTGGTCGTCATGGTCGTCGTCGTCGTTGTCGTCGTCGTCGTTGTCGTCGTCCTCCATCGCCGTCGTCGTCGTCGTCCGTCGACGGGCGGCAGGACAGAAGGAGGGAAAGGGACCGAGACCTCTGGCGTCTCGGAGAATCACCGCCCACCAAACCACCCCAACCCAAGCCGAAGGCCTCAGTTTGCCCTCCATTTCCAGTTGGGGGGGTCGGGGAACATTGAAAAAACAACACACATGAAGCCCGTACCCCCCCGAACCCGAAATTCGAGTCTTCGGGTTGGGTTGGGGTGGTCTGGTAGGTACGCGCAAGGGGTAGGGGGTGGGGGGAAGGCTTCTTAGAAGGAGGCGGGTTCTGAGAAGCAGCGGGCCTTACGTTGACAGACAAGGCCCGCGCCTTCTAAGAAGCAGGGGTGCTTCTAAGAAGCCCTCGCCCCTCCCTCCCCCTCGCGCGCCGCCAAGAAGGAGGGAAAGGGACCGAGACCTCTGGCGTCTCGGAGAATTCGAGGCGGAGGTTGTTCGTCGCGTTGGCCTCTCGGGGCCCCTCCCGTTCCTGGGGCCGTCAGGAAGCGCGACTCGCGACGAAGAGCCGGTCCTGGGTGGAGTGGCCGAGAGGTCGGGCGCAAGGGGATTCAGAGGAGGAGAAGGCAGCCGCGCGCAGAGGGGTGTGGGGGGAGGCGGGATGGCTTCTTAGAAGCACCCCTGTTTCTTCAGGGCTCGTTTCGATTCCTCCGATTCGATTCGATTCGATTTCGATGGCTTCCGATTCCGATTCGATTCGATCTGGGATTCCGATTTGAGTTCCGATTTCTTATTGGAGGCACACTAGCCTGCCGATTTCTGCCGATCCGACTTTTCCCGACTCAGCTGCCGATTTCCGACGATCCGATTCATGTCGATCGCCGATCCGACTTGTCGATCCGATCCTGGGCTCTCCTGTTTCTTAGAGCTCTAGTATTTTTTCTCCTCATATTCGATCTGATTCCCTCTCGCCATCTTGATCTCAGGTCGATGGGGTACGTATTACTGTCAGAAAGCATGTGGGCGGGATCGGGAGGGGGGGAGGCTTCTCAGAAGCACCCCTGCTCCTTAGCAGGCGCGGGCCTCGTCTACAGGTGTGGGGCCGGCGCATTCTAAGAAGCAGCCTCCTTCTAAGAAGCCCTCCCCCCTCCCTCCACCCCCTTGTGCGCGCCGCCAAGGTCGGGCGCAAAGGGATTCAGAGGAGGGAACGGTACCCATAACGCTACCCTTGCCTCGTTATTCCCGTTTTGGGCACCCCAGAACACCCTCGTCCACACCGCTGGATTCGCTTCGAAATTCTGGTCAGAGCGCCCCTGGGGAGAGGTTCGGGGAGTATCCGTATGGGCCGTATGGGTTCTGTTTGGTTCCCCCAGGGATGGAGGGTGTGGACTAGAGAGAGAGGAGGAGGGAGGGAGAGAGAGGGAGGGACAGGGATTGAGGGAGGGGCAGGGATAGAGAGAGGGACAGGGAGTGAAAGAGAGATGGGGGGAGAAAATAAGAGAGAGAGAGAGAGAGATGACGGGGGAAGAGGAGCTGGATGAGGAGTTTGACGGAGCGGGGAAAATAAAGGGGGAGGAGGGGAAGGGGCGATAATCAGCTAAGAAGAAGGGCGGGGATAACCGGAGAGGAGGAGGGCCTACGCTCCCCTCCCTCCCTTCTCCCTGCTGCCTCCTCCCTTGTCTCGTCTTCTCTCTGCTTGCCTCGAGCCTCCTTTGTGCACAGCCTGGCACGAGAGGCGAATGAAAATTACATTCCTGCTGGGCCCGATGCTGATTTGTGGCGGCAGGTCGGCCAAGAGGTCCAGCGTCGAGGCATCTTGTCATGCAGTGTGTTGTTTGTGCGTTCGCGCTTAGAGGCGAGGCGCATCGTGCTTGGTCAAACCCCTAGGTTACCCCGGCATGGTGACTATAGCAGACGAGTTTGCGGCGCAAGGGTGCCAGATTTACCCGCCTCCCAGAACACACGTGTACGAGTACAGCAGGCAGAGTGTACGGTTTTCGCAGTCCGCATGCGTACCACCAGAGCACCGTGGAAGCCATCCGATCTGATGAGGAGGTGCTCACTGCAGAAGGGGGCAAGCGTGGGCGTAGGCAAAAGGTTTCAGCGGCCAGTGTCTGTGCGATGCTCTCTAGCAAGCATTGTTTCAAGGAGGTCAAGAACGGTTCAACGTGTCAAGGGTCTGCTTTTCTAGCTTTCGTACGCCCCCGGAGTATACCCTGGGTACGTATGAGGGTATACTCCGACCGTCTTCCCCCCCCCATGCTCTGCCTCCTCCTCGTCCTCCTGCCTCTTCTTCCTTCCCCATCCACCTCCCCCCCCGCCCATCTACCAAGGGCACGCCAGTCGAGTTTCCTGGGCGCCGCCCCCGCCACGGTCAGCAGGGGCGCCTTCCCTCCGGTGGCCGGATATCGACGCCATGAGGACAACCCAGCGGGCCAGGCCGTTGGGACAACCACGCGAGCCGCTGGGGCGCGGGCGCAAGGCGTTGGGACACACCCGCATGCCCCACGATGTGCCCCCTTGGGGTGCTCAAGTGCTTCGCCTGGTAGAGCATCGACAAATTGGGCCCATAGGGGGGGAGCTCCCGCCCGAGACTCCCTCACCCTTCGCATGCCCTCTGCTTTCCGCTGGTGTCACGCCAATCAAGAATTCCGGTGACACGCTCAGACTACCAACGTCAAGCGCGGGCCCCCGGGGGACTCGAGACCTCTTCGCGCTCCTTTCGCAGACGAGGTTCCCGGTTGAGATTCTAAACCTATTCACGCATGGAGAAATTGTCCGATGACCCGCCTCGGGCTCCGACGTTTCACGCGGGCCCCATCGGTTGCGCGGTCTTCGGCGTCCACTCACAAACGAGACCGCCGTTCCGGACATCCTTACAGTTCGCACCGTTTTTTTTGTGTTTGGGGTATTTGGTAAAGTTTGCCGATGACCCGCTCGGATAAGTAACGCGGCTTGCGGGGCCCATGTGGAAGGGGGCTTCCGCGCGTGACCTCCGTCTTTTCTATCCGCTCACAATCGAGGCCCCCCGCTTGAAACATCCTAACTGCTTGCCTTTGTTGGGGGACCTCTAGCGCTGTGTCATGTACGATATACAGGTGACTTCAAATGAGAACGGAGGGAAACAAAAAGGCTCCCATGTGATATTTCTTCGCGATGTGTTCGCACACGCGGAGCCCATCTGAGACATCCTCACTTGTGGCGCTTGCTTGTGCGCTCGAATATTATGCGTGGTAAAGTATGCCCACGGACCATTCGGATTCGTAACGTGATTTTTCCGCGATTCGTTCGCATACGAGACCTCTGCTTGAAACATCTTCACTGGTTGCCCCCTTTGGGTGTTCAAGTGCGATGCGTGGTCGATTACGCAGATGACCCGCACGAATTCGTTACATTACGCGCGGGCTTCATAGGTGGTTTCCGCCGGATGTTGCCTCACGATGCGAAGATGATGATGGTAATGGTGACGGTGATGGCGATTGAGGGAGCATGGTGTGGTGATCAAATGTGTCCGGGATGCCATGGTATGTGTGCGATGTTGATGGTGATGTTGATGGCAATGACGATAGTGATTGCGACGATGATAATTACGATTGGTATTATAATATTGGTGTTGAAAATATTGATGTTGAAAGTGTAAGCGACCGCGGGGGGGTTTGCGCATCATGAAGAACGTGCTGATGACGATGCGGATGATGATGATGATGATGATGAGGTGGACGCTGATGAGGAGGACGCATGTGACGATGGCGAGGATGATGGTGATGATGGTGGTGGTGATGATGACGATGGTGACGATGGCGACAATGATGGTCATGAGGGTGGTGGCCGTGATGACGATGATCATTAGGATGCTGATGATGGTGATGTCGCTGTGCTGGTGATGGGGATGATGGAGATTTTTGAGGGAGAGGAGAACATCCTGCGCGGCGGGTGTGCTGACAAAGGAACACGAATTCCATTATGGATGTGGACCAGAATCCGCATGTGTCGGCGTAGTTAACGTGGACGACATTATCGAATGGCCGTCGGCGCATCCCGCCACCGTGCTTGGGTTGTAGGTAGAACGCCTCTTGGATGTTCGTTCTGATATCGTGGCCTCTCGGGGACCTCTTGGAGGTAATTTTAAGGCCTCCTGGGGGCCGCTTTGGGCATCTTAGGGGCTTTTTGGTGCCTCATGGAGGCCTGTTGGGCGCCTCTTGGGGCCTACTGGAGGCCACTTGGGGCGGAAGGCTCAGATTTTCGGTTTGTGCTCCCTCTCTCTTGGTGGCCACCTTGGACGGTCCTGATGTATCTTGGGCCATCTTGGGGTTATCTCGGGCCGTCTTCGGGACATCTTTGACCATCTTGGCAGCCGCGATGGCTTCACAGGTCTTTCTTGGAAGCCATCTGGGCCATTTTGGAATCCTCAGAAGCGCCAGGAAGGTGTTAGGCAGCCCAGGAGTTTCGGGAAGGGGGAGGTGCGCGCAGCTCCTTGCGGCCAGGATGGGGGGGTGGCCCTTCGAAAATAACGGAACCCCGACCAGACAGACTTTGGCATTCTTCCACGCCTCAACGAACAAAAGGCACGGTGGCGGATAAGAACTGCTAGTGCAGGTCTGGTAAAACAGCGCGCGCAAGACGCGCAGATTTTTGCATGTCCTTTGGGAAGCATCTTTCTTGGGGGGCCATGATTCTTGCATCATCGATCGTCACCCAGATGTTGCGCGGAGTTGGTTGCCGCGAAGGGAGACAATACGTCTGCCCGCAGCCACAGCGATCCGAAGAGAGAGTGGACAGGCCACGCAGGAGCCGCCGGAGCCTGCTCGGGCAAGCCGGAAGCAGGCTCCATCACCGGAGGTCGCGGCGCTTGCCGATGGTGCAGAAGGATCTGGTGGGATGCGCAAGGGAAGGATCAACACGTTGCCTTCCCGATCTGTTCTGAGCCTGCGAATTTTGATGATGCTTGGAAGCAGTGTGAGCGTAACGCTATGGTTGCGCCTGCCCAGGTGGGTTGCACATATGCTTGTTAGTGTGTGAAGTTCATATTTGTTGGGTCTCGTTGATGCGCTCACACCAGCTCGTGGAGCAATCGAAGGGCCACATTCGCAGTATTGCCCAGGCGTGCATCGCGCAAGTCCCGATGGCTTACGTATTCCAACCTGCCCATCCAGAACTGGCATCCCAGTCAGGATGTTTTCAGAAGTGAAGAAAAGGAGCACTGGTGAAACCAAGGGGGGCACATCAGTCAGACCAACAGTGCGGTCAGGTTGAGCAACTCCGAAATTATCCATCATCAGTGCTTGTACGGAAGTGGTCCCAGCGGATCAAGGAATGGGAAGGCGAATGCGCGTGTCGCCGATTTCGGCAGGCCGCCGAGTTCCCGGGTGTTCCCCGTTTTTTTCGGTTCTGGGGTCCTTGGCAGTGTCGGGTTACGGGGTTTGGGAGGTCTTGATTGTGGCCTGGTGCCGCAGGATCTTGACCGTGAAATGGAGAGGGGTCACGAATGCGAGCAGATTTGACCAGAGAGTTTGGAGAGATATTCAACAATATCATGTTCCCGAGTCTTTGCATCCGCGGTCAGAATGAGTAGTGGATCGTACAGGGCAAACAGCGCATATCCGAGAGTACAGAGCAGAGTGGAGCAGAGAGTGTAGAGAAACTGTTAGACAGTTCAGTAGTGCGCAGTCAATATGGAATCAACCGTAAACAGCGTAGAGGGACAGAGAGAGGGATAGGGCGAGGAAGAGAGAGAGGAAGAGAGAGAGAGAGAGAGATATGGAGGAAGGGAGCACGCGTAGATCAGAACAGGGAACAAACAGACAGCCAAGCTAATTCACAGGGGTTGAAGGGTGCCGATGGCACAGCGCGTTAGGCGATGTTGCAGGTCTCTTTGGTCGTCTCGGGGCCCTCTTCGGGGCCGTCTTGGGCCGCCTTAGGGTGACCTCGGAGGCCTCCTTGGGACATCTTTGAGGCTTCTTGGGGCGTCTCGGCCTGTCAGAGGCCAGAGAGGAAGAGAGTTCACCAGATATTCAATGGCGTCATGCACATAATTTGTCTTGGCTCCCGGCTACGTTCCTCGGGTACTGCGGTCTTGGTTCTTTGTAGCATTCCTCGGGTTCCTCGATTTTCCTTGGTGCCAGTGTTCTGCCACCCCCAAGCAACGCCAAGCAGCGCCAAACAATGCAGGAGCAATGCTGTTCAATGCCAAACAAGCAATGCGAAGCATTGCAATGCCAATAACACGTGACGAGCTCGGGTCTGAGTGCCCAGCCTATGGTAACAAGTGGCACGTTTGTGTTTTCGGGGGCGGAAGAGAGGGGGGTGATGACTAAGGGGGGGTGGATATCATGGCGGGGGCCATGATATTTCCCCTGATTTCAAGGCGCCTCTTCTTGTTTCAATACGTTCCCTGGCCCCCCCGCTGGGCCGTGCACATGCCGCCGGTCATGATTTGCACCCCCCCCTCTTGGACACCCCCCTCTTGGCCGCTCCCGATGTTTGGTCGCCATACGTTCCGAAGCAGTGCCAAGCAACGCCCATCAATGCCAAGCAGCGCGGATTCCTCGGCATTGCCCCCCGCAATGCCGAGTGATGCGAAAGCATGGCTCTTGGGGCCCGTCCACATGGGAGGGCGCTGCTCCCACCCACTCCTCCGCCTGCGCACCGTAGTGCGTGCGAGTGCGCTGCTGCCTCCGTCGCTGGCTTCTCGTTTTATTATTTGGCATCGCTCGGACGTGTGCATTTTTTCTTGGGCGAGGTCCATCGAGGAGCATCCTTGATCATTTGGCGAGAAGCCACGCGCGAAGCCGAAAAAACACAGGGAATGGACGTCCGAGCGATGGCCAGATTATGTTCTCTCTCTTTGTTCTCCTCCCGCCACGCCCGGATCTGGTTGCCAGGCCCACGCCAACAGTGCTAACGGGGCCCATTTCTCTCTGGCAGCGAAGATCAGTGCCAAGCAATGCCGAAGGGATTCGCGGCATTGCCAAGCAGGGTTTCCGGGCTTCTGGAGGCCTCCAGAGCTTCCAGGGGCCTCCAAAGCGACGAAGATAACGAGGCCGAGAAGGAGGAGGAGGAGGAGGATGAACTATTCGACGGTGATGACGAAGACAGCGAAGACGACTATGACGACGGTGATGGCATAGAGGGCCCACAAGTTGGTACGACAGTCTACCAGATTGGGTCTACTACGCCCTGAGAGCACCGAAGATGCTTTCTGAACGATCTCGGAAGGCTTCCAGGCTGCGCCAGGACGGCCCCGGGTAAGCTTCAGTGGGCGTTCGAGGCCTTGGGCGAGCATCTCGAGAGGCCAAAATTATTGATGTCTCATTGGTTTTTGAATGTTATCGGTGCCCTCTATTTGTCGACATTCTGACACTCCACGACGGCCCACAAGGCCTCCGACACCGCCACAGGACGGGCCAGGCGGCCCCCAGGAAGGCCCCGGGACGGCCCAGCAGCGGCCCATGACGCCCCCAGGGGCGCTCAAGACAGCCCACGAGGCCCTCCAGACGGCCCCAAGATGGCCTCCAGAGGAGGGACATGAATCGAAATAACAAGTTTTCCGCCTTATGGAGTTCCCCAGAGGCATCGAGAGGGCGCCAGGACGGCCTTGGATACGCTCCAGAGGGCGCCCGAGGCCCCAGACGAGCGCCCCGAGAAGCAACAATCATTGATTTTGCAAGGGTTTTTGACTTGGTTGGGGCTCCTCCTCTCTTTCAGCTTCCGACAATCCCAACGGCCCAAGAGGCTGCCACGGGGCCCCCACGACGCCCCCGAAGGTTCCAAAATGGGCCCCAAGAGGCCAAGCAACGGCCCCCAATAGGCCCCCCCGCGAGGCCTCCGTCGACATTCCTCCTTCCTTGCACTTGCCCTTTTCTACCCAGCTCCCACCTTTCTTGTTTCGTTTCTTTGCGCCTCCCCCATGTCATTTCGCAGCCGCACCACCATGACGACATCTCCGAATGGTTCACTCTGGCTGTCCTTCGGGCTTTGCAGTCTCCTTGGAGGTACCCTGGCAACCTCCACGAGGATTCCCATACGGCCAACACACCATGTTCCTGGGGAGCTCTCCGGGAACAGGATTGCCGCCGCCGGTCAGGAAAGGAGGCCGAAGATGAGGAGGACCGTCCGCGCCGTGCCACCACACACCCCAATTCAGCGCAGCGCTCTGCCGTTGTGTTTCCGACCCTGCCGTTCTTCGGTGGAAGCTCTGCGCCTTTCAAGCTGCGCCACCATCCCCACCTTTGCAACTGTGCCCGCTGGCCCGTCCTTCGGGCCAGGCAGCCTCAGTTGGATAAGTCCTGAAGTCGAGAGCCCCCACACGGCCCACCCCGCCACGTTCCCGGAAAGCCTTCCGGAAACATGATCGTCGCCACTTGTCCGATTAGGAGACCTACGGTTAAGTCGGGCCTGTCCCCCTACAGAGGACTTCTCGACGACAAAATTAAACATACCCCAACAATAGTCAAACAATAATGAAACAATAGTTTGGGGATCATTTTTTGTATAGTTTTTGACCCTTTGGGGGCATTTTGGGGGTATGTTTCATTGTTCGTCGAAGATCCCCCTGTAGGGGGGCACGCCCGACATAAACCTACGAGGAGGAGGCGGAGGAGGAGGACTGCGACGACGCGGAGAGAAAAACGGCAAACAGAGACCCACGCAGGCTGCGAGGCGGCCCCGGGCGCGCCCACGACAGCCCAGGAGGGTCAGCGGCAGGGGGCCCAGACGCGGCCCCACCGGGGGCCCCCGCGCGACCTGCGCCGGCCTCCCACCGCACATCCTACAGCTCGGAAGTGTGCATTTTTCTTTGGGCGAGGACCATCGAGGAGCATCCTTGATCATTTGGCGACAAAAACCACGCACGACCCCCCCCCAAAAAAAAAACACAGGGATTGGACGTCCGAGCGATGGCCAGACAGGCCTTCGACCCACATTCCAGGACGGCGGCGGGAGGGGCCCATTGCCAGTCTGCTTGCTGGCGGAAGCCCCCGGGGTTTTTCTCCCCCTCCCCCGCGCGGCCACTTCCCAGCCTCAGCCGTGCTTCCTCTGTCATCCCGGACCTTCTACATCTCAGTTCTAAGCCCCCGCTTCCACCCCCTTTACCTCAAGGTTTTTTCTAATGCTTTCATTGGGCCGTCCTTCCGTCTTTCCGCCTTCACCTGGGGTACCTTGGAACCCGTCACGCCAGCCCTGACGACACGGTTTCCGTCAATGTCTCACGCCAAGAAGACTCCGCGCGGCCTCCGTCAACATCCCACCGGGCATGTGTTCCAATTTTTCGAACAACGATCCAGGGGCGGGCGGCGGGAGGGTCCGACACCCATCCTGGTCTTTGTCGTAAGGCCCCCCCCCCGCGTTTTGTCCCCCACCGAACATCCTACAGGCTTTGACCCACAGTCCAGGACGGCTGCGGGATGGGCCCAAACCCATGTGCGTCGCTGTCGTGGACTTCCCAGCTCCAGCGTTTTTGCTTTGTCCCTGCATACCTCCTCCATGTCAGTTCTAAGCTCAACCGCCCCCTCCTTTCCCGAAGGTTTTTCGAGTGATTGCGTTGTGCCGTTCTTCCGGTTTTCAAGCTTCAGTGGCAAACGGCACACAGTGGCAAATCATGAGACGAATCATGAAGATGAGCCAGACGACGACGACGATGCCCACGCGGGCCCCAAGGCGGCCTCAGGGACGCTCCAAACGGCCCGAAATGATGAAACACATAGGCCTACAAACGGCCCCCCAGAGGCCCCTGCGCGGTTTCTGCCGGCGTCCCACCGAACATCCTGCAGGCCTTCGACCCACGAGGGGCAGCGGCGGGATGGGCCGAAACCAATTCTGGTTTGTGTCGTAAAACTTCGGGGGCGGCAAAGAGGGGGGTGATGACTAGGAGGGGGGGGATCTCATGGCGCGGGCCATGATTTTTCTTCTGATTTCATGGCGCCTCTTCTTATGTCATTACGTCCCTGGCCCCTCCCCCTTGGGCCGCGCACATGCCGCCGGCCATGATTTGCACCCCCCCCCTCTTGGACACCCCCTCTCTTGGCCGCTCCCGAAAAACCCTCACGTTCTTTTCACCCTCCCCCACTTGGACTTGCCAGCTCCGGCCGCTCTTGCTTTGTTACCTTCCATTTCCCCCACGTCGCTCCCAAGCGACCCCCATCTCAGGTTCGTTTCCAATGATTCCGTTGGGCCGTCTTGCATGTTTTGCGGCCGCATTTGGGACGGGAACGTGATTGTCGCCGTCATTCGAAAGAGGAAGAGGAGGGCGAGGAGGGGACAAGGAACGCGGAGGCAGAGCACGCATGTAAAGATAACGAGGATGAGGAGAAGGACCGGGGGAGGAGGAGGAGGAGGAGGAGGAGGAGGAGGAGGAGGAGGAGGAGGGGGAGAGGGAGGATGGAGGGGGGGGGAGGAAGAGGAGGAAGAGGAGGAAAAGGAGGAGGAGGAGAACAAACACAATTCATCAGAAGCGGAAGTAAGGAAAGGAGGGGGAAATGTTATTCATGCGTTGATCTTTCCAGTCTTCTCCCTTTTTGCCTCTTTTTGCTTGTTTGTTCATGTTTTTGCCTACCTGCCTCCCTTTTTTTCTCTACCTCCCTCCACTTCCCGCACCCGCGACCACGACGACGACAGCGGCGACGACGCCGACGACGACGTCGACGCCAGGATTGCGCCAGCCTGCCATGAGAGTGGATGCGGCTATAGCTCATGAGGAGGATGGGGAGGAGGAGAGGGAGGAAAAGGAGGAGTAATTGTTCGTAGTTGACTAGAACCGAAGCGCGCCAGTAGCGCGCGCGTGGTTATCGTACACATGTAGGGATGTATGCATGTATGTATGTATGTATGTATGTATGTATGTATGTATGTATGTATGTATGTATGTATGTATGTATGTGTATCAAAATATCGGCGACGTGTCGCCGATTCCAGGCCGATCTGTCCCACGTCCCCGAGACAGTCCGCCCCTACAGTCGGACAGAGGTATAAGATCGAGGCCGGTTCGGAGAAGACACCCAAATGTTTTTCGTGTCTGTCGGATGTCCTTGTGTACCTTGGGGAGGGTACCTTGCGATGGTTCGTTTGTTTTTTGCCAGGAGGCTTTAATGTTTTTGAGGGGTGCTTCTCTGGCCCGGGTCCGACTGTATCGGGTGCCTCGTCGATATCGGCGATGCGTCGCCGGCCCCCCCCCCCTTGGAGTCAGTCCGCCTTTAATGTTGCCGCTCGGGGGGCGCTCTGCTTTCCTTTCTGGGTAGTCGAAGGCCAGACTGTCAGACTGGATTGGGCCCCAAGGGCCAATCTGGCCTGGCCAGATTGGAGGATCTGGGTTGGTCGCCAGACTGGATTCGCGTCGGCTCCCTCGCCAGATTGCCCCCGTCTGCCAGATTGGGCCTGCCGGATTGGCGCCAGATTGGCTTCGACTACCCGAACTCCGTGAGGGGGGCCTACCTCTTCCTCCTCCTCCTCCTGCTCCTGCTCCTGCTCCTCCTCCTCCTCCTCCTCCTCCTCCTCCTCCTCCTCCTCCTCTTCCTCTGCCGGGGCCGCCAACAGAACTCCGCGAGGGGCGGCGGCGGCCGGCGAGGGTCGCGCGGGGCTGCTGCGCGAGCTCGTGCGCGGCTTCGCGGGCGCCGAGGCGGGGCCGCCCCCGCCTGCCATGGAGGGTGCAGGTCGGAGGAGGAGGAGGAGGAGGAGGAGGAGGAGGGGGAGGAGGAGGAGGAGGAGGAGGGGAAGGAGGAGGAGGAGGAGAGGAGGAGGAGGAGGAGGAGGAGGGGGAGGAGGAGGGGGAGGAGGAGGAGGAGGAGGAGGAGGAGGAGGATGTTTGATTCCGCGCCGGCACTGCTACCGCCGGGCCGAGGTGTGAGATCGAGGTCGGTTCGGGGAGGGTGCCTTAGTCTTCGTCGTGTCTGCTGGATGTTCTTGTGCATGAGGATACCCTTCGATGTTTTGTGTGTGTTGGCCGGCGGAGGGTCTCGTGTTCATGGAGGGATCAAGCAGTGGCGAAACGTCCTAGCTTGCCGATGGGCCTACCAAAGAATGTTCTAAGAACCGTTTGTGGCATGCACGAGATGTTCTTAGGACATTTCTGGTTGAGAACGTCTTGTTTTAACACACCGTGCTTACGTTCTAAGAACAGTTCTTGTTAGTATAACAGTTTGGGGTTCTACGAACATTTCGTGGTAGGCCTATGGGAATGCCGGGGCATTCGGTCCCTGCTCAAAGGGATGGTATTCTGTCCCAGGTTCGATTGTATGTCCGTGGTCGAAAGCAGGCCTAATTTGGCATCGTCCCGCTGAATCCAGCTCGATTCTGTTTCATCCCGCCCAGTCCTGGGCCTGCTCGGCGCATGCATGCCACGAGCAGGCCCAGTATTCGGCGGCACTGGCGCTGCAGGCTTTGCCCACGCATGCGAATCGCCGCACGTTGGTCTTGCACGTAGGCCCTGGCAGTGCCACCTGCACGGTCAGGGTGCATCCCCAAACTAATGTGTGGGTGGCAGCCTAGCGTGGAGGGGCAGTAAACAGATGCGCATGCCGAGCAAAGATCTGAGTCAAGAGCCAATATCAGTGCGCAAGAATAAACGCAGCTGCGCGAACACCACGCGTTGTACGGCCTGGTGCGAAAGGATGCAGAGTTGCCCTTCTTCACAGTTGCCGCCCGACGGCCCGAACATAATCACGTTTCACGTTTCGAGAACACGATTTTCGGTGGGTGTGCCCGAAGCGGTTCTGATCCACCTTCCTCCCGCCCTCGCATCTGCCCCTGATTGATTTTCTCATCCTGTAGGAGCTCCTCTCTACCGTTCCAACCTGCTTCGTTTGTAGGACTGACCCTGAGATCCACTCAAAGAGCTGGTGACCAGACCGACCGATTCCCCTACACCGATTTTGGCTAAGCTGATCACAGGCTCGGGACAGTGCCTCTCCCCAGCGTAGCCAGGAGGGTGTCCATTAATGTTGGGCCCAGGATTGGCCTGGCCAGGGCCCGTTTAGGCGGATGGTGTCCGGCTGTACCAGACAAGGAAGTGGAGCAACGAAAGTGTCGGTGGGGCCAGAATCCAAAACAATCGCCTGCATGACAAACAGCGCTATACAGCCTTCTTGCAATCATAGCAGCTATTTTGACAGATCGAGTGATCCTCGCCGAGAAACTTCCGCTTACTGAAAAGGCTTTCGCATGTCTTTGCCGACCACCAGAAGAGGAGAGACGTCTGCGGCGTTCGTACAGCTGTTGCTGCAGGCAGACTTTAGGAGGCCTTTGGCAGCTCCCGTGGGGGTCCCTCGTGGTCATTTTGGAGGCGTGAGGACCCTATGAGGCTACAGTTTGTGGAGGATGCACGGAGAGGAAGCATGTTGTCAAATAAATTCAAGATGCCTAAAACATGTGCTAAACATGTTTCAAGCATGTAAAAACATGTTTAATATATATTTAGAACATATATCCGATAAGTCAAACACATGAAATTTTCATGATAGGATTGTCAGAGTGTCCATTGTCATGGCATCCGCAACCCTATGAGGCTACAATATGTTTCCTTGAAGGTCGTGGAGGCACTCGGGGCCGACCTGCCAGACCATTCATCACAAAGAGGCGGGGCCTCAATGACGCACCCTCGTCGGAGCGCGAAACGTCCTGGCTTGCCGATCGGCTCACCAAAGATCGGGCCAGACGAAAGGGGGGGATAGGGAAAGGGGGGCTGCGAAATCTGCTGCATGCAGCTGGTTTCAGCCCCACCAAGGGGCCCATTCCTCGATGCATGGCCGCCTCCGGCGCGCCTGGAGGCGCCGGGAAAATCAGCTACGTGAGCTGATTCTCCCCCCCCCTCTTTGCTATCCCCCCCTTTCGCCCAGCCCGAAAAGAGTGTTCTGATATCCTTGTGTGGTCTGCACGAAATGTTCTCAGAACATTTCCTGCTGAGACCGTCTTGCTTTCACACATCGGTCTGTTGTTCCAAGAGATCAGAACCTTAGGCGTTCTCAGGACATTGTCGGATTCTAAGGGCATGTCGTGGTAGGCCTATAGGGATGCCGGGACGGTCGGTCCCTGCCCAAGTCTTGGGTTACCCAGGGCCGTGTTTCATAATGTGGTATTCTCCGGGGTACAAGGGAGGTTGGCGAGTCCTGGTGGCTTCATCTTTGAAAACGAGATCGTTGATTGTTGATGAGGGGGGATGGGGGGGAGGGGGGTTGCAGCCAATCATCTCATACGCCTTCTGACCCCTGCAAGTGAGAAAACGTGTTCAGTGTGCGTAGCGATTCATCTTTCCGAGCTCGGAGCTTGATGGTGGCTGTGCGCCTGGCGACCTTGGGCCCCAGTGGCGCCTTTAGTGGCTGCGATGGTTAGCGTGTACGGTGCGCCCGCTGCATTTTTGTGCGCGTCGCGAGGGCCGCGACTACGCGGAGGTGCTCGGGGTCATCGCAGGCGCCGCCGCGGCTTGCCAGGAGGCCCCTGGGCTCGCATCGTCGGGGGGGGCCGCAGGTGATAGTTGTCGGCCTTCCTGGCTCATGCGTCTTTCCTGGTAGAGGGCGGGTGCCAACAGGAAGTCCCGATATTATTGAACTGCTGCCATTTCGGTCTCGGAATGTTCGCTTATCCAGCAGTTGCAATGCCCAGCTGTATGTACGTCAGCGCACGTCCGCCGACGCTCTCGGGGAAACTGCGCAGCAGCGCTGCTTCGTGGCGCGGCCGTGGCTCTTGGCATCGCTCGGACGTGTGCATTTTTCCTTCGGCGAGGACCATCGAGGAGCATCCTTGATCATTTGGCGAAAAAACCACGCACGAAACCGAAAAAGCACAGGAAATGGACGTCCGAGCGATGGCCAGGGCTCTGCATGCTTGTGGCGATGCCTTTGGAGGTGCCCCTGCGGGGGGCGGGCTGGGGCCGCGGCGGAGCCGTCCTGGGCTCGCCGGCTTGCTTTGGGCCGTCTTGGGGCAGCCTGTGCTGGCCTTGGCCGCCTTCCGGCCTCTCTGGACGAGGGATCCGACCGCCTTGGAGCGGCATTGGGTTTTGGGGCAGGGAATCGGGCCAATCGGACCAATCGGACCGCTTGGTCTCAGTCTGGGGCGGCTCGGAGATCCGATCGATGCCGACCAGAGGCACTCTCGGCACTGCCGAGGTGGGAAGGCGACCATACATACAGGAATCCACCGCGACGCAAATGTGGAAACCCACATCCCCTGAACATGTTCTTGTGTGTACGGGTCCCAGGTTTCTCTTCTAAGGCCGGGTGTGAGGTCCTCCGCGACAGATCTGAAGTCGGTGGCCCGTGCTCTTCCATATATGCTACCCTGTCTGGTCTCCAGTCTGCTGCACGGATTTTCGTCTTCCCTCCCGCACGGTCTCCTGTGTGGCCTCCCGCAGGGCCTCCCGGAGCGGGGCAGTGCAACCGGGTACGGTCTGGCGGCACGGGCCAGTCCGGGTCGGGAGGAGGTTCTTCCTCTAGGAGGCCACATGCGAACCCTAGCTTTCTGGAAGGTGATTCATCGAGAGGAAGCATGTTGCCAAACATTTTCCAGATGTCTAGAAGATCTTTCAAACATATTTTGAATATGCTAAAAAATGTTTGAAACGTTATTAGAACATGTATTACACATGTTCAAGACACGTGCAGTTCAATGATCTGATTCTTTCGAGTGTCCCCTAGCCCACCACCACCCCTCTCAGTTTCGTAGGGTGGTGGGGTGGGTGGGGCTCGCATGTGGCCTCTCAATGTCAAGCAGTGGCGAAGCGTCCCGGCTCGCCTATAGCCCCACCAATCAATGTTCTACGAACTTTTTGTGGTTCCCACGAAATGTTCTTGGAACATTTCTGGCTGGGACTGTCTCGTTTCAACACATCGGGTTTCTGTTCTAAGAACACTTTGTTTTCTGTTCTGAGAACATTTTCGGGTTCTGAGAACATTTCGTGGTACGACCATAGGAATGCCGGGACAGTCGGTCCCTGCTCAACAATGGTCGGCTACACGTAAGAGTGAACCTTGGCCAACTTGGCCAGAGTGACCTTCAGTGTTGGCCCGAATGGGGTCGGGCAGATCCTCTTCAGGAGTGCGCTCGGCCTCGTGCCGGCGCACGCTGCACCAGTCTGCGATGGCATCAGAGCGCTTCTCCTCCTCCTCCTCCTCCTCCTCCTCCTCCTCCTCCTCCTCCTCATCCCTCGCCCTCCTCCTCCTCCTCCTCCTCCTCCTCCTCCTCCTCCTCCTCCTCCTCCTCCTCCCCCTCCTCCTCCTCCTCGGGCCCGCCCCGAGGCCGCGCCTGCGGGCGGCCCCCCCGGCGAGAGCCGGGACCCCGTGCGCGCGCTGGAGGATGGGGGGGGGCGGGCCCGGTGGCGCGCGCGCTCGCGGCCTGCCTCCGAAGGCCTCGGCGAGGCCTCCGAGAGCTCCCAGCGGCCTCCAGGGGGAGGAGGAGGGGTCTGGGAGGGGGAGGAGGAGGAGGAGGAGGAGGAGGAGGAGGAGGAGGAGGAGGAGGAGGAGGAGGAGGAGGAGGAGGAGGAGAGGAGGAGGAGGAGGAGGGGGAGGGGGAGGGGGAGGAGGAGCAGGGGGAGGAGTGAGAGGAGGAGGGGGAGGAGGAGGGGGAGGAGGAGGAGGAGGAGGAGTAGGAGGAGGAGGAGGAGCAGGGAGAGGAGGACAAACAGATGAAACGGCACCGGCAAAAACGAACGAGGCCAATCGCGCAGTCCAGCGTGGGCTTCGCGAGCCTGCAGACGGGTCCAGAGGGTGTCCATCCCAGGGGTGCTTATAAACCATGCGGAATAATTGTGTGACGAGGTCCCACCCCCAACTTGACCACACACCCATCGCCCCCTTTTTCAAGCGCAGGTCCGCCTCCGGCGCAAGGGCCGCTTTCTCATGGCACCTGCGGTGCCGCGGATGCTGCCCAGATTGGGGCCGCCGAGTATGATACGTAGGCCTTCCTGGCCGAGATTGCGCGCTCACATCGCTTGACCAGTAAAGGTCCTATGCGTTATTCCGCAAGAGCGCCACACAGCACGCAATATATTGGCAGGCGCGAGCGCTTTGTCCACGCGGTCTGCAGGCTGTGATGGTGGACACTCGCGCTGCCACACAGCTGACAGAGGACAGGAGGAGGACCAGGGCACTGCATCAAAGCCAGGTCTGGACCAGCCTTGGCCAACCGAAGACACTGAGCACACCTCATCTTGCCCTCGCCCACCGGAGGCCACACATGCCACGACGCCGCATGGGTGGTGCTCGGCGTATTACTGAGCTTGAAAGTAGGGAGAGGGAACAGTGGCAGCACATTGGCCACCAGATTGGCAACAGCCCGCAACCTCTTGGCCATCAGGCCCCTGCGCTCGCCGCTCGATGGGGAGCCGTGGGGATGAAGCCTGAGGGCGTCTGCAGCAAGAAGATCGACGTCATTCTTGCCCAGAGCGATCCCCTGGTCCTTCGGCGTCAGAGTCTCAATTAACTCATCCGATCTATGCGCGGGCGTGTGCATCACCTGACCAACGTGCTCATGTCCATGGCCCTCATGTGCACCTTGACGAAGCCCAGCGAAATTCTGAGTGTGCGCAAGCTGCGCCAAGGGCGGCTTGTTGCGCAAACGATTCGCACCTAAATAATCAGAACATGGTCGCATGGGCCTGGACAAGAGAGAGGACAGCGAGAACGAGGTGCTTCGCGGCGGTTTGGGGAAGGCTATCCCAAGCTACCCCTTGGAGCTTGTATTTGATTTGGTACGCGTCCGAAGGCTCGAGGAAGACGGCAGCATAAGCCGCGCGGTCGAGCTTGTGAAATTCGAATCGCATGGCATTGCCATCTACGCATACATCACAAACGGCCTTGAGCTCTTGGAAAACCTCCCCCGAAACAGAAGAGACCCCTGGATATCTTGAAAATCCGGCCATAATGCATCCGAGGCGGGCGGAAACTCTTCATCGTCCAGTTGGAAAACGACGAGCGTAGACCTTAAGCAGGTCAGAGGGATCCGAGCGTGCCGCGTGTATGATTTCGTCGGGCACGGACTCGGTGCGCTGGGATTCACACGCCGCGCAGTGCCAGAGACGGTGGTGCACGGAGTCAGGTTGACCACACGATGGGCACATGCCCGTGGACTCGACATTATACTCGACCAGGCGGTCCTCCGTCCACCACCCCCTGAAAAGAAAGCGTCAGTAGATGCTTTTGGAGAGGATTAAATCTTTTGGAGCGGATGCACTTGGCAACTACATCAGCAGAGACTTCACGGCCCGCCCCTCTAGCTAGAGAGCTCGCAACATGACGGCCATGTTGTCGCATTACTCTGGCGTGCAAAAGCTTGGCAAGCATGGCGGGCGACGTGTAGAAGAAGTCAATCTCGACATGCATGTCATCCATGAACGTCTTGAAATTCGTTCAAGACCAGCCCAAACGTGCCAGACACAACATAGTTCGGTTTATGGGGCCCGCAGTACGATTCCATTGAGCCTGCTCCAAGATTGGGAACTGGTCGATGACAGCGTCCCGCGCTCTCTGCAGGAATCTCCAAGAGAGTACCGTGGTGCCAGGCTCCACCAGGGACCGCTACAAAGCCTTTGCATACTGCAGGATGGGCGCCACCGAGGTCTGCCACGCAGGATCGCCATATAATGTCATCCTCCCGTCCGAAGAACCGCCACTGCACGGTATCAAGGCATGTCGTAGGGTGAGTCGTTCAGGGGATGTGAGGCCAGAGATCATGTTGCCAAACGTGGTTGCCGGCCGGACTCTGGAGATGTAGATCTTATGCGATTTAGATTTCCCCACGGTGAGACGACGACGCAAAGCCCGCAAATAAGCAATCCGGCTTTTTATGTCCTTGAAATTCTTGCGCATCCGTGCCGAGTGCCATCGTGGAAGTATCGGCACGCGATTTCACGCCCAGTTTCTGCAATTGGCGATCGACGTCGTGCACCACTTGAGGACACGAGCCAAAAACCATTGCCTTGTTCTCCGTTAGATCGACATTGAGTTCTGTGCTGCAGGTGCCAATGAGATCCTCGGCAGTAACAACATCGTCATCGACATACACCCCGAGATGGATGTTCCTGTTAAGCGCCACGAAAGCGTCGAGGGCGACAACCATGTAGAATGTCACGAACATATGCGGAGATGGAGATTCCGTCTCTCTCCTTTTTCTCCGGATGGAGGAGGAGATGAGGCTCTCCATGTTTCTCAGGAAGAGGAGGAGGATTCTAAATTCTTCTATTCCCCCCTTAGGCAGGAAGAGGAGGTTCCGTCCCTCCCCTTCCCCTCAGGATGGAGGGAGAGGAAATCCCTTCTCTCCCCCCCATAAAGGAGAAGGGGGAGGAGGTTCATTCCCTTGCCTTCCACTTTGTAGGGGGAAGGAGGAGAAGGAGGAGGAGGAGGAGGAGGAGGAGGAGGAGGAGGAGGGAGGAGGGAGGAGGAGGCGGAGGAGAGCAGGAGGAGGCGGAGGAGGAGGAGAAGGAAGAGGATGATGACAATGAGGAGGGGGAGGGGGGAGGAGGAGGAGGAGGAGGAGGAGGAGGAGGTGGAGGAGGTAGAGGTTCCTTCCCTTCCCTTCCCTGAAGGATGAGGAGGAGGTTTATTCCCTTCTTCCCTTTCAAAAAGCAGGAGGAGTAGGATGAAGTTGCTGTCCTTCCCTTTCGGTCAGGAGGGCGTGGATGAGGAGGAAAAGGAGGAGGAGGAGGTTTCTTCCCTACTCCACCCCTCAGGAACGAGGAAAGGGAGGAGGAGGAGGAGGAGGAGGAGGTTCCTTCCCTCCCCTTTCCCGTAGGAGCGAGAAGGAGGAACAGGAGGAGGAGGAGGAGGAGGAGGACGAGATTCCCCCCCTTCCCCTCAGGAAGAAGAGGAGAGGGTTCACTCCCCTCCCTTTCCCTCACGAAGGAGGACGAGATTCCTTTCCGTCCCTTCACGAAGGAGGACGAGAGAGAGAGGAGGCGGTTCATTCCTCTCCCTCCCCCTTGAGTAGGGGGGAGCTGGAAGGGGAGGGGGAGGAGGAGGTGGAGGAGGGGGAGGACGAGGAGGAGGAGGAGGACGAGGAGGAGGAGGAGGAGGAGGAAAAGGAGGAGGGGGAAGCAGATGATGATGATGATGATGCTGATGATGATGATGATGATGATGATGATGATGATGATGATGATGGTGATGGTGATGGTGATGGTGATGGTGATGGTGATGGTGATGGTGATGGTGGTGGTGGTGGTGATGATGATGGTGATGATGATGATGATGATGATGATGATGATGATGATGGTGGTGGTGGTGGTGGTGGTGGTGGTGCTGATGCGGATGATGGTGATGATGGGGAGGAAGAGGTGGAGGAGGTTCCTTCCCGTCCCTTTCCCTGAAAAGGGGGTGGAGGTGTATTCCATTCCTCTTCCCTTGCGAAGGAGTATGGGGTTCCTTCCCTTCCCTTTGCCTTCGGAAAATGGAGGATGATGGTGATGGGGAGGATGAGTTCCTTTCCTATCTTTTTCCCCCAGAGAGGAGGAGGAAGACGAAGTGGTTCCTTCCCCCGGCCTTCTGGCAGGAGGAAGAGGAGGTTTGTTCCCCTATTCCCGAAGGAGGTGAAGGAAGAGGAGGGAGGAAGAGGAGGTTCCTTTCCTTCCCTTTCCTTCAGGAAGGAGGAAGAAGATGCAGCCCCTTCCCTTCCCTTCCCCTCAGGAAGGAGGAGTAAGAGGAGGAGGGGGAGGAGGAGGACGACGATTGAAAACGCTTTCCTCTACAATGTTGATGGTTGAAAAAACTCTGCAAAGCACAATGCCTCGAAGGTCGGATTGTTGAGAACGTTTGGTGTTGCAATGCTTGTGATTTCGGCGATCAAAAACATGGTATAATGCAGTGTTTGTGGACGTGTGGCAATTCAAAGCATGTTACTGTACAGTGCTCCTGTCTGTCCGATTTTACAGGACGTTGAATTAAACATTGCTTTGGAGGTTTAACAGCCCAAAGCGCTGTGACTCACAATGTTGTTCTCTGGCGTCGGAGATCAGATCACAGTACACAACGCAGTGTTTTGGGTGTCTGGCTATTGAAAACATTGTGTTTTTTTATATTCTGGTTTTCTTGATATATGGCAACCATGTTGCTTAATAATGTTTGGGAGGCTTGACAGCCAAAAGCGTTGTGATGTACCATGTTTGTTGTTCTCGGATGTCAGAAACAAAACAAACTAAAACACAGTGTGTTGGGACATCTGCCTGCTGACAACGTCGTGCTGTGCATTGTTTTTGCGTTTGTAGATCAGAACGCACGGCACAGCGCATTGTGGTGGGCGTCGGACAATTCAAAGCAGTGTGTTTTACAATGCTACGGGTTTTGTGATATTTCAAACGTTGTATTGAACAACGCTTGGGAGGCTTGACAGCCGAAAACGCAGTGATGTAACATGTCTGTTGTTCTTAGATCTCAAAGCAAACCTTGCAAACACAATGTTTGGGAACGTCTGTATGTGCTTTATAATGTGTTGTTCCCGTTTTTGGACTTCAGAAAAATGCAACACTTAGTGTTCAGGAGGACGGACCAGACGGACCTACCCGTCAGAGAGACAGAACACAAATCAATTTCTCCATTCCCCGAACAAAAAAATGAACATTGGATCCAGGGCAGATGTTTGTGTTGTGTGTGCGTGTGTTTGGTTCCCCTTCCCCTCAAACAACTGCCGCCGTTGTTTGTTCATGACTGTTGTGTGTGTATGTGTGTGTGGGTGTGTGGGGGAGGTCGATTTGTTTTTGGGGGACCCCTTCGGAGTTGAGAAGCGAGAGACATAGAAAGAGAAAGAGACAGAAAGCGAAAGAGGGAGAGACCTCGAGAGTGAAAGACGAGACAGAAAAACAGACAGTGAATATAGGAAGCCTTCAAAGGGAAAGACAAGACAGAGAAAGAAAAAGAGAGAGAGGGAGAGAGAGCGAGAGGCAGACAGCAGACAGAAGCTTCCGAGACGCCCCGAAATTGCCCCTCCAGAAGTGACCGCTCTCTCTTTCGAGGAGGAGGAGGGGGAGAAGGAGGAGGAGGAGGAGGAAGGGGAGGAAGAGGAGGAGGAGGAGGTGAAGGAGGAGGAGGAGGAGGAGGAGGAGGAGGAGGAGGAGGAGGAAGAGGATGAGGAGAAGGAGGAGAAGGGGGAGGGCCAGCGAGGGTAGCCGATCATGGGAGGAACGGATCTCGACACCGCTGCCGTCCTGGGGGAGCCCCCGTGGCTACGGCTGGTACTCCCCGACCTGGGCAGAACGCATCCCGGCAGAGCTTCCGGAGGCCTCCAAGTTGCGCCGTGACCACGCTCAGCGTTCGGTGAGCCAGTGGGGTTCTGGGGTTATCGCACGGCTTTGGGACTCGGGTTATGATGCTCCAACCTGTTTGAGCCTTGACCACCAGGAATAATTTCGAGCGGCCCAAAAAAGTACCGAAACTCAAGGGTTTTCACGTGTCGGGCCCTGGGAGGCACTCGCCCGACACTGTTTCGACACTGTTTCGATACTCTTTTGATACTTTTCTGGGTGCTCGAAGTTATTTCTGGGATGCGGTCCTTAAGTAGGATGGGAGCAGCATAAGACTCGGGTCCTTCTCCGAGGACGCCTCGGGCGACTGGGGCGCCCCAGGCCTCGAGGCCGTCCTCGGGCTGTCCGAGGACGGACCGTGCAGTGAGGCCTCTTGGGCTTCCGAGGTCACCGTGCGCTCCGTCACCACACAGCTTGGCGACCCCAGGGTGGTTTCTTCGAGGGCGCCTTCGAGAGCGCGAAGTTGTTCGCGCTTCGCGGTGCGGCTCCGATTCCTCCACATCCTCCTTTTCTCCCTTGGGGGGCGGCGCGAGAGCGCGAGGTTCATTCGCGCAGCGCGGAGCGCGAAGTTAAGCGCCCTCGTTCCACCAGCCGATTGGGCGACGGACGAGACTTGTACGTATACACTGATATCTGGCCAGGCCCATCCTGAACCCAGCAGCGGTGTGTACGACACGCCCTCCTGGCCTGGCCAGGAGGGCGTACATACAACTCCTGGGTTCAGGATGGGCCTGGCCAGGGAGCAGTGTTACGTCGGGCCTGTCCCTCTAGCCTGCAAGGTGGTTCAAGCCTGCAAGGTGGTTCAAGCCTGCACCGATCCGTCCCCGTTTGCACACCATGGCAACGGCAAGCACGGGAGGAGGCAGTCGTAAGTTGAAGCCTCAGGGAAGTAACCCGGAGGCTCCTGATAAGAAGTTGGCGAAGACGTTGAACGCCGACGACGACGATGCGGAATTGGGCATGGGAAGTGGAGGAGAGGAAGGAGAGATGGACATGAAAGGCATGATGAAGGCGATGATGGGCATGATGAAAGGCATGAGGAAGGACATGAAATGCATTAAGAAGGAGACGGAGGAGAAGATGGCCAGCATTCAGCAGACCGTCGAGATCGCCAGCGATACCGCAGGGATGGCCATGGCGGAGTGTAAGAAGGTCCAGTCGGAGGTGAAAGGGGTCAAGGATCATATCACCAAATTCGAACGCGACCTGAGGGAGCTTCGCACTACGGTTCAGAATCGGTCCGACACCATCCCAGCCACCGACAACCTGCAGACGATCGAAAAGGGCATCCGGGAGCTGCAAGTCATTGCTGCCGGCTTGCAGGAGGCCCAGGACGAGGAGGACATTATCGAACAAGTCACGAAGCGTGTTGTTGATTTGGGAGCAGGAAGCAAGCACACCGACATCTTCGTTTACACTGACCCTTCCAAGATTGGCGTCATACAGTTCAAGTCGATCGCAGCAAAGATCGGCTTCCTCAAAAAAGCTTCCAATACGACGACCAAATGGGATAATGGCTCAGACATGCGTTTTAAGAGCAACGATACACTGGCGAAGCGTACCATCGACAAGGAGATGGGGAAGGTCAAGAGTTTGTTGCACAATGAGGGTCAAGGATACAAGCTGGAGGACATGAAGATTAAGTGGAAGGAGAGGGTGGTGGAGTTGAAGGGAAAGAGGGTAGCTTGGAAGAAGGAGGGAGGGGAAGGACTGCAGTACGAGGGAGAAGGGAAAACCGTAGAAGAGGCAGTCAAATCCTTCATGACGGCCTGGAAGAGCAAACGAATGGGCACCATAGACGAGGATCTGTGACCCTGCCGGCGAACCCGCTCACAAAGTACCAGTACCAGTCGAATCACAACCTCTACAAGGACAGTTTTGGGAAGAGCGGGGAGAGGTGGAGGGAGAGGGACGCACCACCATGTGTCCGGAGACGTGCCGTTTTGCATGATTGGGACAGGTGCTGTTGACGTTCCAGCTCAGGACCGGCTACCTCGAGGACCGGATGCGGATCACGAACCACACTTGCACGATACAACTTTGGCAATTCATTCGAAGTTCAATGTGTTTTTCAAGAACGTCAGAGGTCTCACAAATGAGGCCCGTCTTGACGAGCTTCTCATGGAGATGCATGGGGTCACGTGGGATGTAATCTTACTTGCCGAAACTATGCGGACGCATCGAGAAGAGTCTATGGTGCTGGACGGAGGGCATTTGTTCGCTGGTGCAGGATATGAGCTCAACCAGCGGGGCGTGGCAGTTCTCATCAACTCGCGATGGGCGAGCGCAGTTCGAAACACAGTTTTTGTGAATGAGCGATTGGTTTATGTTGATTTGAAGGCCCACGGCAAGATCATACGACTAATATCTTCGTATTTTCCTCACGCCAGGTATGCCGACAACCACGTGGATGCCATGTACACGTCCTTATCTCGGATTTGCACAGAGGCGCGCCGCAAGCATTACAGAACGATACTTGGAGGCGACTTCAATGCTGAAGTTGGGAGCCGGCTCGACACGGACAACTCGAAGGTGATCGGACGTTTCGGCCTCAATGTGGAGACGTCTCGGGGGCAGTGGTTGAAGAATTGGTCAACTTTGGAGAACCTGGTCATCGCCAACACTTTCTTCCCGAAGACGCCAGAGAACAGAACTACACACATCGGTACCAGCGGGAGGTCCCGGCAAATAGATTATATCATCGTAGACCGGAATATTTGGAAATATGTTCAAAATTGTGGTTCAGTGGCAGATTTGGGGATGGGATCTGACCACCGTGCAGTTTTCATGACGCTGAATTTCCACCAGAAGCCAAAGGAACCGCCGTTACGACAACAATCAAAGAAGCGTGCGACACCATGGAACAGGATAGATAGCAATGGTTTCAGGAAGACTCTGCAGTCTAAGATACACTCCGGAGAGCTTCACGCGGACGCCAGGCACCAAGCAGATCTCATCGAAAACGCTTTGCGGATGTCAGCGGCCGACAACGAGAAGGAGCCGGACCGGGAGACCGAGGGGGGCGATTTCAGCGAGCTCCGAGGCCGCATCCGAGAACAAATCGCTGCCCGGAGAGAGGTGTCCGACCCTGCACAGCGAGCTTTGCTGAGCAAGCGCATCCAGAAGGATACCAAACGACTTCGCAAATCCGAGGCGACTGGGCGCATCCATCAGATTCTTGACGAGTTTTCTGGCTTGGGCACGATTTCTCGACATAAGACCTTGGTGAGAAAAACTTTGATGACGAGCGTGTTGGACGGAGAGAAAGTTGTGACCAATCGGAGAGAGATGGTTGACGTGTTCGCCGCTTTTTACGAAGATCTGTATTCGTCAAAGGTCTCGGTGCCGATCCTACCAGAACTGCGAGATTCATCTTTGGTCGCCGGGGCTCTTCCGAGCATCGCGACAGGTGAGGTTCGAGATTCGATCCGGCAGCTCAAACGGAAGAAGTGCGCGGACACTGGAGGCATCTTTGCCGATATGCTTTTGGAGAGCGGCGACATACTATTGGATGTTCTGGCTGATCTTTACAACGCCGTCTTGAATGGATCCCCGGAGCCGCCCGGGTCGTGGAAGCAGTCCGTGATCAAGGTGATTCACAAATCTGGCGACGAGAGGCTGCCGAAGAACTACCGCCCAATCACTATTATTCCAATTTTGTACAAGTTATTCGCACGGATTTTGTACAACCGCTTATCTCTAATATTGGAGCCACACCAGAGCGCTGATCAAGCTGGGTTCCGGAAAGGTTTTTCGACAGAAGATCACCTCCTCACCATGATGATGATCCAGGAGAAGGCAGACGAACACCAACTTCCTCTGTGGTACACAGCACTTGATTTCCAGAAGGCTTTCGACTCCGTCGAACACCAGGGTCTATGGAATGCGCTCTTCAACCAGGGCGTGCATGTGGGCTACATCAGGTTATTACAGCGGTTGTATGATAATCAACAGGCACAGGTGCACGCAGACGTTCGCAGTCGATGGTTCGATCTATCACGCGGGACGAAACAAGGGGATCCGCTGAGTTCCTTGCTGTTCAACGCGCTGCTGGAGGACATCATGAGGCGTATCAAGGTGAACTGGCAAGCCAAGCGATATGGCATTCAATTGGGGTGCACACAGGAGTGGAGAATGAGTAATTTACGTTTCGCCGACGATGTTCTTCTTGCCACAAACACGTTGCATCAGATCAAGCAGATGCTGGCGGATGTTCACGAGCAAGCTGGTGCAGTTGGCCTCCGGCTACACCCGGACAAGACGAAGATACTGACCAACGCGACGAAGAAGACAGGGCGTGGGAAATGTACGTACGCAGATATTCACGGCATGCACATCGAGATTTTGAGCTCTGAAAAGACCGTGAAATACCTGGGCAGACTTCTGGGGGGCGGGGCCTGCGCCCAGAATGAGATCCAGCACCGGATTCGTCAATCTTGGAAAGCGTTCATGGCGCACAAATCGGAGTTGACGTGCAAGCGGTACACCTTGACCAGCCGCCTTCGCCTTTTCGACAGCGTCGTTACTCCGATGGTGATGTACGGCGCTTCCAGCTGGACGCTGACGGCGGAATTACGACGCACCCTGCGAACAACTTAACGTAAGATGCTGCGCATGATCTTGGGTTCTGGCAGACGGCCGGTGGCAGCGCAGGCGGACGGTGGTGACCTTGAGTCGGCGAGTTCATATACGGCAGCCTCTGCCAGTGACGGTGTGCACGAGCAAGTGGCGGTTGAATCCTGGATTGAGTGGGCGATCAGAACAACAAGACAAGTCGAAGGACATGCACATTCCAACAACATTGAAGACTGGCGTCTACTCTGGCGAAGGAGGGTGTGGAGATTCGCTCACCGGGTTACGGCCTTATCTTCTGGAAAATGGTCGTCACGAGCTACTCTGTGGGACGCTAGCAGGGACAGGCGAGCAAAAGGCAGGCTTCAGAACCGCCCGCGCAAGAGGTGGGCTGACGACATTTGCGCTTACCTACAGTCCCAAAGGGTATGATGCAGGACATGACCGATGGTTTCTTCTGCCTTTCTCTGATGAGCAGTGGTCGGCGCTTGAAGATGGCTTCCTCGACGTCCCCATGTGAGCGCTACGGCGCTGCGCGCCCATCCCCGTAGTCGGGACAGCTCTGCTGAGGCGGCGCCCTCCTCCTCCTCCTCCTGTCCCTCTACAGGGGGGAAGGTCAAACATAGTTAAAACGTAGTCCGGGGTCCGGGGTCTATTTTTTGGGGGTGCTGTTTGACCATTCTGGAGTTTTGTTGGGGGATCCTTGGTTTTTCGTCGACGGCCCCCCCTGTGGGAGGGCAGGCCCGACCCGGGAGCAGTGGGTGTGCACAGGTTTCGTCCGCCCGAGGTCGGGGGGCACCGCGCGGGCCCCTCGCCGCCCCAGGCGGCCTTGCTGACGATCTCCGCCGGCCCCCTTGGCATCGCTCGGACGTGTGTATTCTTCCTTCGGCGAGGACCATCGAGGAGCATCCTCGATGATTTGGCAACGCAAAAACACGCACGACACCGAACAAGAAACACAGGGAATGGACGTCCGAGCGATGGCGAGCCCCTGCTTACCAGCCTGGAACATATCCATATCCCTATGCTGGGCATCTTCTCATCGCGAGGGCGCATCCCTAAGACTGTCGTCGCCTTTGGCGTGTCAATCTTGGGGATAGGGATACGTTCGAGGCTGGTCACCTGTTTCTGGCGGCGGCGGGCACGCGCCAGGAGGCCCTGCGCAAGAGCCCGCGCTGCCGCCGCGCCCGCGTGCGGGTGCGCCGCATCCGCAGCGCGGAGGATGACGAACGAACAACACACACCCATACCCATAGGGAGGTCGGAGGGAGAAGGACTGGCCATGTGTATGGGTGCGGGTTGTCGGACCCCTGGGGAGGCTCCCATTCGGGCGAGGGCCCCCCTCCGACGACACGCACCCATAGCTCATTCCGTCCCCCCTATGACTAATGGGTATGGGTGCGTGTTGATCGTTCGTCGGAGGAGCTGGGCGCCCTGTGACCCCGCGGCGCGCGCCGCGGCAGGGTTTCTCGCCGGCCTCGCGGACTAGAGGGGGTGGACGAGCGGGAGGAGGGGGCAGCGAGGGCCGCGGGGACGGGGGCGAGCTGGGGCCCCATATAGTCAGGAGGGAATAAACACACAGACACAATTCATCGTCGACTCCCCAGGAAATTTTGGAAAATATGGGAAGTGGGGGGGAAGACAGAAGCTCCGAAGATATAGGAAAATATGGGGGTTTGTTTTATCTGTGTGTATTTATTTGTGTGTCCCAGGGCCCCTTCATATAGATGGGGCCCGCAGGGCCCACATGCCCCCCAAGAGGGCCGGGGCGGTGAGGCATCTGGTTGCGCACCCCTGAGATTTTGCTTCGGGCCCGGCGCTTTCTGTTCGCCCAGCTTCGGGCCCCAGGTCATCCTCACGTGTCGATGCGCCTCGGAAGGTGGCGCGGAGATGGGGTCCGGTGCTCTTGGCATCGCTCGGACGTGTGAACTTTTTACTTCAGCGAGGACCATCGAGGAGCATCCTTGAGCATTTGGCGAAGAAAACCACGCACGAAACCGAAAAAAGCACAGGGAATGGACGTCCGAGCAATGGCGAGTGCTTTGTCCGTGATTTTCGCGATGTCTGAATTTTGTTCGTGCCGTCGAATCTCACAGACAGGCTTCCGCGCCGTCGGATCTCAGGGGCAGAGACCCCCTGCCCCACTGAGGACAGCTGGGGCGACACTCGGGAGGCCTGTGCAGACCAACCAGGACTACTTGGAGGGGCGATCTGTGGCAACCCGAAGCCTTACACGCAAGTCGTTGAAAGTAGGTATTTTTGGACTCCCAGATGCCATATCTACTTCAAGCGCCTTCCTACTCCAAGAATCGACATGCTTTTGCTGTGTTTTGTTTTTCTCTGGGAGGACCTGGACCCAATCTACTACATCCACCTTCCTACTTCATGTTTCTACCTACTTCTTCCGACCGACGTGTAATTGCCAGGCCAGTGGCTGAGGGGAGGACCTTTAGGAAAAAGCTCCAGAGGGTGAAAGGGTATCAATGACACGCTGCTGTTGGCAGCCCGTCAGCGTGTTGCTCCTTCGCTCTTGTCCGGAAGTTTGATGTTTCTTCAACGGTAGCGCGCCTCAAGGCGGCGTGTCGTTCATGTTGTGTTTGCCACTCCCCCCCCAAAAAAAATGAATGGCGAAGGATCAAATCATACGCAGTTGTGAACACCGCAGTTGTAGGTATCGTCTTCGGGGGAGCCCCCTCGTAGGGCCACCAAACGCCGTACTGGGTGGGGGAGACGCATGCGGACTGCGCCACTGGAGCCTTCGGTGGAGCTCTCCATGGGGCCACGAAACGCTGTACTGCGTGGGGGAGACACATGCGGCCAACCCCACTGGGGCCTTCGGTGGAGCTCCCAATGGGGCAACGAGACGCTGTACTCGGTGGGGGAGACGCATGCGGGCTGCGCAGTTGAGACCTTCGGTGGAGCTCCGCATGGGGCCACGAAACGCCGTTCTGGGTGTTGCGGACGCATGCGGGCACCCCCACTGAGGCTTTAGGTGGAGCTTCCTATGTGGCCACGAAACGCTGCACTGCGTGGGGAAGACGCATGCGGACACCCCCACTGGGGCCTTCGGTGGGGCTCCCTATGGGGCCACGAAGCGTTGTACTGTGTGTGGCGGACGTATGCGGGCACCCCCACTGGTGCCTTCGGTGGAGCTCCTTATGGGGCCACGAAACGCTGTACTGGGTGTGGCGGACGCATGCGGGCACCCCCACTGAGGCATTCGGTGGAGCTCCCTATGGGGTCACGAAGCGCTGTACTGGGTTTGGCAGACGAATGCGAGCACCCCCACTGAGGCCTTCGCTGATGCTGATGATGATGCTGATGATGATGATGATGATGATGATGATGATGATGATGATGATGATGATGATGATGATGATGATGATGATGATGATGATGATGATGATGATGATGATGATGACTGTGATCATGATGTTGATGCTGATGGTGATGATGACGAAGATGATGAGGATGATGATGCGAGGAGGAGGGAGTGGGCAGCGGGAGGAGTGAACGCGGGGACCGTCTCTTCAAAACGAGGACCCAACATCACAGGATGGTTGGGAAAACAGACGGGGGATCCTCACCAGGAGGGCACTTCGGAGGGTAGAAGGCCTCCTGGGAAGGATGAACGGGCAACTGGGGAGGTGCCGGGGAAATCAGCTACGCGGGCTGGTTCTCTGACACCCCCTGCGCTATCCCCCCCCGTGTCGTCCGCCCCGACAGGGAGGAGAGCTGGCCCCGCTGCGGCAGCACCGCAGGCGCGCGCTCCCGGCGGCCTCTGCGCGCCGCCGGCACCGGAGGTCGCTCAAGACTGAGCGGCCCGCGCGGTGGCAGAAGAGAAGCTGCGGCCCGCACCGTCGCGCCCGGGGTCTGCAGCACTCAGGAGGGGACAAAAAACGCACAGGCACACAATGAATCGTCGACGCCCAGGAAAGGATTGGAAAATATGGGGATTGGGGGGGAAGACACAAACCCAGAAAATATGGGGAACTATGGGGGGGAAGACGAAGACCCAGAAAGTATGGGAAAAGATGGGGAATCCTGTTACCTGTGTGTATGTATTGGCGTGTCCCAGGGCCCCTCTCAAGCACTCTGCGGGCGGGCCCGCGGCGCGGGAGAGGCAGCGGTGGAGCGGGGCCCTCTCTCCTTGGGTGCGGGCGGTCGTTTCTGCTTTTGTTCGATGCTCTGCCGGCCGGCGCGGGCCCTCGCACCCGCCCTCCCCCCGCCCCCCCCCCCGTGGAGCAGCGCAGGCGGAAGGAGAACTATTCAGGACTATTCAGAGCAGGCCAGCCAAATCTCCATGAGAACGATGGCTCCTGAGACACAGGGCAACCAGAGGCGACGGGCCTGGGCCACCCTCGTCGAAAAACGACACCAAAAAGTTGAGAGCCCCGCGCCGCGGGAGCCCCCAGCGGCCCCAGCAGCCCCCATTAGCAGGGCAGCCAAGGCCGCAAAGACCCCGGGGCGGTGCAGGCCGCACCGGAAGCGCCATGCGGCGCACCGCCCTGGGGGCCAGGGGCCCCGCGCGACAGCAGTCGGACCCCCGCTTCCTGCACCCATCGCGCCCTCGGAACTGGCGATGGGTGCCGCCGCGCCGCAGTGCGGGCATGCGTCGCAGGCCCGAGGGAGCCCGCGCCAGCCCGCCCCCCGAGGGGGACCCCAGGAGGAGGAGGGAAACCGAGTAGGACGGGCCCAGGGACCCCGCGCCAGGGGGGCCTGGCAACGGGGGGCATCCCGAGCCCGCCCCACCCAGTACCCCACCCCCACCTAGGGGAGGGACCCCCAGGGGGCCTGGGCGCCCATGCCCCCCCCCCGCCCTCCGCCTTCTCCGGCTAGTCCCCGGCTTTATTGTATCCCGCCGATACAGGCGGCAGTCGACCATTTTGGGTTCCCCGACCGTCCCGGTGTGCTCACCGGGCCCCCGGCTTATGCGGGGGGGGGGAAGGCGGAAGGAGGAAGAGGAGGAGGACGAGGAGTAGGAGGAGGGTCGAGGAGGAGGAGGACGAGGAGTAGGAGGAGGATGAGGAGGAGGAGGAGGGAGGAGGGGGAGGAGGGAGGAAGGAGGAGCAGGAGGAACTGGGGAGCAGGGAGCAGGGAGGAGGGCGAAAGGAGGTCTCCCCCACGGGACGCGACGTTGCAAGCGGTGTAGCCGCACGAAGCAGAGGTCCTGAGAGCCAGACCCCCTGCCCCCCGCCCCCGCTTTCGGCCCAGTGACGAAACGCCGAGTGGGAAAACGCCAACCAGGAGGGGCTCTCGTTTTCGGGCCGCTCCTTTGATCCAGGTCGGGGGGCCTACGGTAGGTTTGCGTCGTGTCGACCAGCGGCGACCCCAGCGCGGGCGTTCAAGGTTGAACGCCGCCGGCGACCCAGAATCGATCGATGTTGAACGATCGGACGTTGCGGCAGCGGCCGATCGTTCAAGGTTGAATGATCCCTGCGGTGTCAAAAACCAACGCTGGGGTCGGCACGACACGAACCTGCCGTATGCGGGTGGGCCAGGGAAGCTCTTTCGTTCCTCGTGTGGCGTTCCTTACCGTGGCACGGTCTGTAAGCGGCTCGATCCGTGACCCGTGTCCGGGGGACGCCAGCAGCGCACTCGCGCGGATCTCCTGGCCAGGCCCACTCCGTGGTCCAGGATCGGGGTGTACATGTACTCCAGATTTCGTAATAAAGGGAGGGGGGTCTCATTTCGGGGGGGGTCTCTTCCAGGCTATCTTGGAGGGCCTGTGGGAGTCTGGGGACGATGTGTTGGAGGGTTCTCCCACGGGGGGGGTCTAAGACTTCTCGTCTGGGAGGGTTGAGACCCCCTCCCTTTTATTACGAGATCTGGAGTATGCACTCTGGGCCCGAGGATGGGTCCGGTCGGCATCGGTGCAGGTTTACGGGGGGTGGACGGACCTCCTACCCTGACACGTCGATTCAGGGATTGGCCGTGCTCGCTTCGCGAGAGCGCGGCGCGGCCGTTCTGTTTGCGGGTCCAGGCCCGTCGGTTGCGGTCCTGGGCCGTTTTCATTTAGGGGAGGTTTACTCAGGGGCGCCCTCGAGGGCGCGAAGTTATTCGCGCTTCGCGGTTCGGCTCCGATTCCTCCTCGTCCTCCTCTTCTCCCCTGGGAGGCGGCGCGAGAGCGCGAAGTTATTCGCACTTCGCGCTTCGCGCAGCGCGAAGCGCGAAGTTGGGAGCCCTTATTTACTAAAGGGAGGTTTGTCCACCGCCGAGTGTACAGTTGGCGTCCTGCCGTCGTGCGGCGGACGTCGAGTGATGTTGCGCAGGGTGCTGTCGCGTGCGGCACGGCTCGGTCCGTCCCCGTCCCGAGTGGGCCGTGCGGCTCCGATTCCGTTTGACCGCGCGCCGAAGATCAGAGGGGACGGAAGCGTGATGGGCTGGCGGCGCAACCGGTCGTAGGTGACCGAAGAGGGTCTTTAATGATGCCCCCCCCTAAGCTCTCGGCGGGGAATAGAAACTCGTCCCTCCTCCTCCTCCTTCCCATCCCCTCTCCTTCCCCTCCGCTCCTCCTCCTCCTCCTTCCTCCTCCTCCTCCTCCTCCTCCTACTCCTCCTCACCCTCCTCCCCTCCCCCTCCTCCTCCTCCTCCTCCTCCTCCTCCTCCTCCTCCTCCTCCTCCCTCTCCTCCTCCTCTCCTCCTCCCTCTCCTCTCCTCCTCCTCCCTCCTCCTCCTCCTCCTCCCTCCTCCTCCTCTCCTCCTCCTCATCCTCCTCCTCCTCCTCCTCCTCCTCCTCCTCCTCCTCCTCCTCCTCCTCCTCCTCCTCCTCCTCCTCCCCCCCCCCTGTTCTGGGCTCCGTTTCGTAGACTCGAGGAGGAGGGAGGACGACGACGAGGACGACGACGACGACGACGGGAATCATTAATTTCCAACTATTGTCGGTGTCCCAATCAGTCAATAAGCCGGCGGACAAATGATTAATTTTCCAATTATTGCCCAGGGGTTTACGAAAGTCCCTTTGGTGTTGAGGGGCCATGCCTGATGTCTGGTGGGGCCAGCCAATTGTCGTGACCACGATCAGCGACGTTCTGCCGCTCGTGCAGACGGCCTTGGGTCTTGTAGCCGAGTCGAGGTCGACGTGGACTCGACACGGACTCGAGGCGCATCATTCGCGCCCCCCATGAAGATGTTTCGGGGGAGCGTAAGACCCGGGTTTGCCAGGACTCGGGTTCGCCATCGTTTTTTGACGAACGCGTCTCGGATTTTGACGAGGAGGAGTTTCGTGGGATGTCTGCAGCGGGAGGCCTCGTCAAAATGCAGGGTCGGCCTCGTCATTTTTTTGACGATCTCGTCGGGGATTTTCGAGTCCCCCGTACCCGGGTCTTACGTCTCCCCGAATGTTACCACACGCGTGCGCAGACGTACCAGCGCAAGGCGGCGTGAAGGGGGCAGTCGCGAGCGCTGGAGTGGGGGAGTGCGGTCGTTCTGCCAGACGCGGCCGCAGCCAGAGAAGCAAGGGCTCCCTCGAGGGCGCGAAGTTATTCGCGCTTCGCGCTTCGCGGTCCTCGTTCCTTCTCCCCCTCCTCCTCGTCCTCCTATTCTCCCTTTGGGAGGGCGGCGCGAGAGCGCGAAGTTATTCGCGCTTCGCGCAGCGCGAAGCGCGAAGTTGGGAGCCCTAGGAGAAGGAAGAGGAGGAGACGCACATCCACAATGCCCCTCCTGTTGTGGAAGTCGATGAGCGGAGAGGAAGCATGCTGCCAAATAATTTCCAGATTTCTAGAAATGGCTTAAACAGGGTTTAGATATTTGTGCCCCGGATTCCATAATGAAGTAGGGGGGGGGGCACAGTTGGCGGGGGGGTCTTGAAGGGCTCGTGGGGGTCTGGGCAAAGTGCCGCCCTTTCATGGATGGTCTGGGGGGGTCTAAAACTTCTGGTCGGGGAGGGTTGTGACCCCCTCCCTTTTATTACGAAATCTGGAGTAAACACATGTCTGAAACGTTGTTCGAACATCCTGTTTTTGTACATGTAAAACCATATTTAATTCAATGGTGGGATTGTTAGAGTATCCATTGTCATGGCATCCACAACCCTCCTGTCACCTCAAACATCTACTCTGGCATCTCGGCAGCTCAGAGGCTGCCAGGCGCGGGGCATAAATGGCCTGGGCTGGAGGGAGGGGAAGGTCGGAGAGCGACGGCGGGTGCGCGAGGGAGCGATGCCGCGAGCGAAGGAGGCAGGGAGTCTCCCAGTGTTGGGCGAGCGCGAGCGCGAGCGCGAGGCAGGGAGTTTCCCAGTATTGGGCGGAAGGCGGGCAAGGGATGCTAAATCCGTGGCTGCCAAAATCGACCTCCGGGAAGTTGTCTTCGTCCCTCCGGGAAGAAGCCCGCTGATTGTTTCGCGTGCCGTGCCTCATTCCGGGAAGTTGTTTTTTCCTTCCGGGAGGGCCGTTTTAGCAGCCACAGTTTTAGCAGCCTTCGCCCAGCTTCCCAATTTGGCGAGCGCGAACACGACATGTAGGCGCATTCCCCTTGCGCGAAGTAGCTGTTTCTCCCAGTCGAGAGGCAGAGTCGATGCTTCGTTGCCGCGTGATCGGGGTGGATGGTTCAATCTACCGCAGCAGCGGTGCAAAGGCACTTTCGTGTCGCATCGCTATCTGGAGAATCGTTATTTCTCTTTTTAGCCGCTTTGGGCTAAAGTTGCAAAGTCTTGAACAAACCACCCGCGTCGGTGCAGAGCAGTTCGCGAGTGGAAGCCTTCTGACATGCAGGTTGTGTTGCTGCGGCTTCGCTGCAGTCAGCGGCTGTCTGGTTGGACCTCATGTAGATAAAACAAACCTGGGTTCATCACGTTCCGGGGAGATCCACTGGGGATTCGAATTTCTCCCAGAACCTGATGAGCTTGGGTTTATGCATTTCCGGGAGTGTTAGTTGGTGTTGGTAATGCCCCCCAGATCGTTAAGAATTTGGGCTTGCAATGCTTTTGGGGCACCCCCGCCCGGGTCGGCTGCCCGTTCTTCAGATAAGTTGACGCGGTCGTCGTTGCAGCACGCTGGGGACGCAGGCCGCCCATGGCCCTGCGCAGCCTGCGGCGCTCTCGGGGGCGACTGCCTGCATAAATCTCTCTTGCTCTCTCTCTCTCTCTGCTTCTTCTCTCTCTGCTTGTTCTCTCTCTCTCTCTCTTTCTTTTGTTTGTTTCCTCTCTCTTTCTCTGTCTCTCACAGAAGCACTATATATATATATATATCTGCTTGTTCTCTCTCTCTCTCTTTCTCTTGTTTGTTTCCTCTCCCTTTCTCTGTCTCTCACACATACACTATATATATGTCGTGCCTTTTGTTGTTTTCTCTCTCTCTCTCTCGTTGTTTTCTCTCTCTCTCTCTCTCTCTCCCTCTCTCTCTCTCTCTGAAATTCAATTGCTTTGCGCATGCGTCGGCACAACCTTTTTGTTCGTGAGGGGTGTGCCTTGTTTGTTTGTCTCGTTCGCCCAGGTTCTGGCCGAGTGGCGCGGTATGTTCGCAAACCGAGTTCGACGCCACGACATGTTGTATGTATGTCTGCGTCGTCCTTTTGCTCCTGCTCCCCCTTCCCTTCCTCTTCCCATGCTCCTCCCTTACCCCCCTTCCTTTTTAATTTCGTGTCGCACCTCGAGGCCTGTCAGAAGGGCTGTCGGGGCGTTTCGCATGAGGCTTCCTCACCTTGAATGAACTTGAAACTTCATATTGGCAACCGCTTCACAGATGTGTTGCAGGCCGTCTTCAACATGTGTTTCTCGCCTCAAAGCCGCGCACACTCGCTTTAAATAGTTGAATGGACTTCACGGATTGAGGGCGGGCCACTTTCAAATTGCGGTTCTCGCCTCAGCGCCGCGCGCACTTTTACCTCAGAGGGTATCTCACGTTTCGCAGGTTGATAGCGGTTCCTTTAAACGTGTTGTTTTGGCGTTAGCGCCGCGCACATTCGTTTCGAAGAATGCCAGAGTTTCGCTGGCTCCCATGGCTAACGTATCAAAGCTAGTGTTGTGGAGCGGTTCAGGATTGTCAGGACGCAACAATTTGGCGTCGGAAATCTCAGGAATGGTGCTCTGGCACGATTCATGATCGCCAACACGCAACAGTCAGGTTGATTCGTGGCGGTGGAGTCATGAGAATGGCTTTTCGGCACGCTCACGGTTGTCTCAACGGGGCACCTCCTTCCGTGGAGTAGAAATTCTGTAAGGACCTCTACAGTGGGAGCTTCAGGGGAGGGCTTGTTCCAGCATCGTTCATGAATTTTGGCTTTACTCCGGTTTCCCTCCTCCTTCGCCCCCGCATTCACCTCCAGCAGGGGAGGTGCAAGACGTATCACACGCAGCAGCGGGAGCACGAGTAGCAGACGACGCGGCTACATACCGCGCTGACGAGGGCCCAGGAACACATCTCTCTTTCTCTCTCTCTCTCTCTCTCTCTCTCTCTCTCTATATATATATAGATGTACACACAAGATTGCATTGGCGCTTCGCGCCATGCACCTTGGTCCTAGAGGCGTTGCGTCTGGCGGTCGTTCGCGCCATCCCTAGTCGCCGCGGAAAGTGGCCTCCTTCCCTGCAGTGGTCTCCAAATCTCCTCGGACGTTCGGGCGGTTCCTGGCCTTTCGGGGGCCCCCGAGGGCCCCCGAGAGGCGCCGGGTGGAGGGCGAAGGATAGGAATGGGGGAAGTTCGGGGAGCCAGGGAAGGAAACGGATGTGGGGGAGGACGAGTGGTGGAGTGGCAGAAAGATGAGGTGGAGAAAAAGGAGGAGGAACAGGAGGAGGACGAGGAGGAAGAGGAGGAGGAGGACGAGGAGGAAGAGGAGGAGGAGGAGCAGGAGGAGGGAAGGAGAAAGCGCCGTCGGGGGGCGGCGAAGGATTTCGCGTGCGCCGCACTGAGGAGCGCTGGCCAAAAGCCGCCCAGCCCCGCGGGCGGCTTTTCCCTGAAAGCCGACAGCCTAGCAGAGGGCGAGAAGCGGGGGCGGGGCGTCGGGGCCCAGGGCCCCCGCGTGTCGCGCGCCGCCGGCGGCCGGCTCGGCCGTGCAGGCCGTCTAGAGGCAGGCTCTCTTGCGACGCTCATGTGGCTATCCAGGCCGTCCAGAGGCTCTCTTGGGATTCGGATGCAACTCCTGGGAGGTCAAATTCTGTATTCGCCCTGGTCCGAAGTCTGGCTTAATCCAGCTGAAACCCGCTTAATCCGGCATAATCCCGCTTAATCCTGCTTAGTCCGAGGCCTTTTCCGGCGTAGCAGCTCCCAAATGGGGTTTAATCCTCCTTGATCTTTCCGACGAAAACCTCCCAGTAGTTGCCTCCTATTTGGGAGTCTCTTGGGCTGTTAGGGGGCAATACCAGAGGCCTGTTTGGCTGCTTTGGACGCTGATAAAACCCGAGCGGCGAGTATGCTGGAAAT